TAATAGCTCTTCGATTTTTTAGGAAATCAATTTTAAGGGCGTCTATAAATGACGTCACACTCGTAGGGGGTGGGGGTCCGTAATTTTGTGACAGTGTGTGATGAGGGGGGTGTTCAGATTGTGTGACGTCACACTTTTGCATTATAAAATAAACCGGGAGTGATCTCCCCTAAACTTTCTCGAATATTCTTATATAAAACAACAGGGGATGGGAAACTCGGGCTATAGACATGATTTTTAATCCATTTTAAATACTTAAAGTTTTAAAATAGAATAAAATCTCGTAGACAAAAGAATTGCACACGAAGTGAACGCTAAATAAAAAAGTGCATAATAGTGCGCAATATTATTAGTACTTTAAAAATTTACATTAGTTTTTTGAGAAATCGGAAGTAGCGTAAATTACTATTTCCGGTCAACGGAAATGACTCAAAATTTAACAGAAGGTAGAGAATTAAATCTTATACTTACATGTGAAATTTCATTTATCTATCTGAAATAGTACTCAAGTTATAGGCTTTTGAAAAATTCAAAGTAGAAAAAGTACCACTTCCGGTTATCGGAAATCTCTCAAAAGTTGATACGGATCTACGATTTTGATAAAAAACTTATATATGAAATTTCATCAACCTAGCTGTAACGGTACTCAAGTAATCGTGTTTACACACGGACACACACACACACACACACAGACAGACACACAGACATACGGACAGTATTGCAAAGCCCAGTTTTTCAGACTGGATTACGCATAAAACCTCTTAATTTTGATAAATCTGGATTGATAATTTTTGCCCGATTAAAATGAGGTGTAATACGGTGAAAATATGTTAAAATTTCAAGTGATTTTTGTGCATATTTTTTTTTTTTTTGTGTATATACGAGAAAGTAAAAAGCAATGCTAGAAAACGAATTTTTGCCATTGTTTCGCGTTTTAAAAAACTGTTTAAATAAACTGTAATAGAAATTGATTAAAACACTATGTTCACAGAGTTCAGACAAGATGTGGGGAAAAGATCGCAGTTTTTAAGAAAAATTCAACTGCAATTTTTAGGAGGGGGGGGGGGTGTAGGCTGAGGTGTAACGTCATTTTAGGGGAGACCAACCACTTGTTTTGCTGTTAACAGTTTTTCTCATTGGAATCAACATTGATCTAAATAGCGCTAACCTTCCTGCTCATAAGCAGATATGCAAAATAATATTTTTAACTTATAGAGGGCCAAATGGTACATTTGACATTTCACCACAAATGATATAAAATAAACAAGCCTATTTCTAGTGGGACAAATTGTATCAATAGTCTCACTCCCTCTTCTTCTCCCCCCCCCCCCCCCAATCACCCGTACGTACGCGACCCGCTTATCCTACTACTGTTTGGGTCTAGCCTTGATTGCGTTGATTTTTTTTTATTGGTAACCAACATCCGGAGATCATCGATCACGTGACTACGTGGTACGGCCTCATCCGGTCTAGTGACAGGCAATTCTTTCCCGACCGCCATTTTTTTTTTTGTATAGTTGGCTCCCTTTATTGCTGGTAATAACAGGAGTTCTCTCCCTTAATAAAAGCCTGCAATTTAGTTTTAGTGTACACTACTTTTTGTTTTTATTTTTAATTGTTTCCTTTTTTATAGGAGTCTGAGCAATAATCTGTTTATATTTACATGTATTCTAAAAATAATTTTTTTTTTAAAATTTAAAATTGCCTAAATACAAATTTTAATGTCGAAATGAAGACGGTAATTATTGATTTTTTTTTCTTTTTTTAAAAGGGTGAAAATGCTATATACTCGTATCCTCTCTTCTTCCTCAAACATACACTCTGCCGAAATCTTACACAAAACCACACACGCCATCACAACATGCACGCACACACACACACACGCAAACATACACTTGGACACATCACACACTCTCGTGCAGGACACACATCAGATAAATAGACACACAACACCACGTCCCCAGATACAGTCTCTCCCTCTCACACAGTCTCACACACACACACACACACAGATAGAGTGTCACATAGTGTACTCTGACAATTTCTTCAGTGGTAATCAGTAATCAGCTATAAATAAAACCTTCACCCTGATCAGCTTTGTTCTTGTCTTTGAAATGTCTCCGATTCTTTTTTTTTCTTCATCATCTCTATCTGAACCTGTGGTGTGTGTGTGGGGGGGGGGGAGTAAGACTGCATAGTTAGATTTGTTTTAATATACATTCTCTCTACGTTTAAAAAAATAGGATGGGACGTAAAATGTCATTTGACATTCATTTCTTTTTTTTTTTTCATCATCTTTATCTAAAACCCAGGAAGAGAGTGGGTAGGCATCTTAGTTAGATTTAATGTACACATTTTCTGTTAAAAAATAGGGTGGAACGGCCATATCTATCACCATGGTAACACAACAATTCAATTTCACCCAGTGCTTTGGCCTACCATAGAAAAGTAAAAAAAAAAATGTGTGAATAATTGTGAATCTTTTTGAAAGCTAAAGTCTTTTTCAAAGAAAGCTGCAGTGATTTTCTTAAAGCAAACGCGTTACATATTCAGACCTTTAAATACAAACAATCCAATGACAAACTTTAAATACAAATAATCAAATGACAAACGTTAAACACAAACAATCCAATGACAAACTTTAAATACAAACAATCCAATGACAAACTTTAAATACAAATAATCAAATGACAAACGTTAAACACAAACAATCCAATGACAAACTTCAAACACAAACAATCCAATGAAAAACTTTAAATACAAACAATCCAATGACAAACTTTTAAATACAAATAATCAAATGACAAACGTTAAACACAAACAATCCAATGACAAACTTTAAATACAAACAATCCAATTACAAACTTTAAATTCAAACAATCCAATGACAAACTTTAAATACAAACAATCCAATGACAAACTTTATACACAAACATTCCAATGACAAACTTTAAATACAAACAATCCAATGACAAACTTCAAACACAAACAATCCAATGACAAACTTTCAACACAAACAATCCAATGACAAACTTTAAATACAAACAATCCAATGAAAAACAGGACTGGTACTTTGGAAACGGTGTAATGAATCGTTGATCTGTTGTAAATTGCTCCCTCGTTCACCTTGACCCCTGGAGTGTCGTATGCTAATTTTGACCACCACTCGGAAATCACCTCATCCATCTAGGCTTTGGTCACGTGTCCCCTCCCCTCACCATTCCTGATGTCGGCCGCTAGATTAAACTTTCGTGACCGGATGTTTAATGTTCCGTATACGGCAGCCAGTGTACCATTATAATTTTGTATCAACAAGTTTGAAGAGAGGGAGAATGTGTGAAAAAATATAGGGTGGGAGGTAAACATAAAGGGAGATAAACTAACAAAAAGTAGGGGAGATAAATATAAGCAATATAAACAGCAAACACACGAAGGTAAATAAAAGCTTAATGGGAGGTAATTTAAACAAGTTAATAAAAAGTCTAGTGACAATTTAAGCGCAATTTCCTTAATTAATTTTTTGTGACCGAACGAAAGGATATTTTTGAAAACTTTCTTCGGCAATATTGTTCTAAATTATGGCAGGAATCGATTGGTAAATGTTTCAAGTCGCTAAGTGGTCTGGTTGCCGAGATATGGGCCAAAAACTGCATTTTTTTTTTAGGTTTTTTGGCTTTTCCGGGAAATCCAGGAAGGAATTCCGGGAAATTTTTTGTCCCACATTCATCCTCGGAACTTGCTTAACATATTTGCTTTTGGAACTAGTCATCGATATTGCTTCGTTCAGGAGGAGATACGACTTAAAGCTGCGGACACACATCCATCCATCCTTGACGAGTTAATAATCGCAATTGTCCAGTATGGAAATTGCGCTAAAAAAACGGGAAGATAGACAAATATAAACATAAGGGGAGATAAACATATAAACCCAACCGGGGATGAGTTTTACTCACAAAAAGAGGGCTATCTGATGAAGTACGCTGTATAGATCTACAATCTATTTCCCCCAGTTCCCATTATGCTTTGTTATAGGAATCAGCATGAGAGTTTTGATGAAACTGTGATACTACTGTCAATAAAATTGTATTTTCTGATTAATTTTTTTTTTCCAATTTTCAGCTGTGTATGTTAATCAATTGTTTCATTCAACCATTCATTAAAAAAAAGATTAACTTGGATACACATTTTTATAATAGTGATTTATTCCCCCCCCCCCCCTACCCCACCCTAACCAACCTTTATGGCTAACACTTGGGTGCTGGTCTTCATCTAAGTAGAAAAAAAATTATATTAAAAATATAGCTTATAATTAAACCGCTCCTAACCCCCCCCCCCCTCCCTTTCTTAAAAATCGTACACACCACCCGACCACGCCGTCCTAACCATAGTAAAAAAAAATGTATTAAATTATTTAGGAAATGTCTACGGCACCACGGCGTCCCCAGCAACCTCACCTTAATAATAACAATAAAAAAACTGTAGCAATTTATTTACGAAACTTGCAAGCGTAGGCTATTCCAGAGTTTCTTACAGGCGCCCTCCCCCCCCCCCCCTGACGAAATAGAATTTATATAAAAAATAAATATTTACCTGTGCCCCCCCCCCCCATATAATGTAGTCCGCCTCTCCCCCTGAAAATTTTAAGTGCCACCCCCCCCCCCTCCCTTGGGCTATTTCTTTTCCTCACCTTAGTAAACTATTGATTGTATGAAATGTCTAAGGATGTTATTCATCCCCACTCCCCCCCCCCCCACTATCCGCCACTAGATACTGTCTTACTTCTGAAGATGCTTCATGACTCCCCCCCCCCCCCCCCCCACTAGATACCGTCTTACGTCTGAAGATGTTTCATGACTCCCCCCCCCCCACACTATCCGCCACTAGATACTGTCTTACGTCTGAAGATGTTTCATGACTCCCCCCCCCCCCCCACTATCCGACACTAGATACCTTCTGATGTTTCATGACCCCCCCCCCCCCCCCCCACTATCCCCCACTAGATACTGTCTTACGTCTGAAGATGTTCCACGACGGCCGCGGATCCTGGATGACGATGCTGTTCACCACCATCCTGACCGTCTTCCTCCTCTCCTACCCCTACAACGCCATGCTCAAGCTGGGCGGTCAGGTCAACGATGACTACCACATCACGTCCAGGATGGGCATCAGCAACCGGATCTTCAGCAAGGTGGCCGCTACAGGCACGTGGTGCGGGGATTGTTTTACGGCCTGGATGGTGAGTATAAGGGGAGGGTGGGGGGGGGGGGAATTGTGGAGGGGGGGGGGCTACAGGCACGTGGTGTGGGGATTGTTTTACGGCCTGGATGGTGAGTATAAGGGGAGGGTGGGGGGGGGGGAATTGTGGAGGGGGGGGGGCTACAGGCACGTGGTGTGGGGATTGTTTTACGGCTTGGATGGTGAGTATAATTTGGGGGGTAATGGTGGAGGGGGGGGGTACCGGCATTTGATGTGGGGATTGTTTTACGGCCTGGATGGTGAGTATAAGGGGAGGGTGGGGGGGGGGGAATTGTGGAGGGGGGGGAGGGCTACAGGCACGTGGTGTGGGGATTGTTTTACGGCCTGGATGGTGAGTATAAGGGGAGGGTGGGGGGGGGGGGAATTGTGGAGGGGGGGGGGGGCTACAGGCACGTGGTGTGGGGATTGTTTTACGGCTTGGATGGTGAGTATAATTTGGGGGGTAATGGTGGGGGGGGGGGGCTACAGGCACGTGGTGCGGGGATTGTTTTACGGCCTGGATGGTGAGTATAATGGGTGGGTGGGGATAAAATTGTGGAGGGGGGGGGGGGCTACAGGCACGTGGTGTGGGGATTGTTTTACGGCCTGGATGGTGAGTATAATGGGTGGGTGGGGGGGGGGGAATTGTGGAGGGGGGGGGGGGGGCTACAGGCACGTGGTGTGGGGATTGTTTTACGGCCTGGATGGTGAGTATAATGGGTGGGTGGGGGGGGGGGGAATTGTGGAGGGGGGGGGGGGGCTACAGGCACGTGGTGTGGGGATTGTTTTACGGCCTGGATGGTGAGTATAATGGGTGGGTGGGGGGGAATTGTGGAGGGGGGGGGGGCTACAGGCACGTGGTGTGGGGATTGTTTTACGGCTTGGATGGTGAGTATAATTTGGGGGGTAATGGTGGGGGGGGGGGGGCTACAGGCACGTGGTGCGGGGATTGTTTTACGGCCTGGATGGTGAGTATAATGGGTGGGTGGGGGGGGGGGAATTGTGGAGGGGGGGGGGCTACAGGCACGTGGTGTGGGGATTGTTTTACGGCCTGGATGGTGAGTATAATGGGTGGGTGGGGGGGGAATTGTGGAGGGGGGGGGGCTACAGGCACGTGGTGTGGGGATTGTTTTACGGCCTGGATGGTGAGTATAATGGGTGGGTGGGGGGGAATTGTGGAGGGGGGGGGGGCTACAGGCACGTGGTGTGGGGATTGTTTTACGGCCTGGATGGTGAGTATAATGGGTGGGTGGGGGGGGGGTAATGGTGGAGGGGGGGGGGGCTACAGGCACGTGGTGTGGGGATTGTTTTACGGCCTGGATGGTGAGTATAATGTGGGGGGGGGGGATTGTGGGGGGGGGCTACAGGCACGTGGTGTGGGGATTGTTTTACGGCCTGGATGGTGAGTATAATGGGTGGGGGGGGGGGGGGGTAATGGTGGAGGGGGGGGGGGTACCAGCATTTGGTGTGGGGATTGTTTTACAGGTCTGGATGGTGCTTAAAATTAAGGGGGGGGGGGTAATGGTGGAGGGGGGGTACCGGCATTTGGTGTGGGGATTGTTTTGCAGGTCTGGATGGTGAGTATAAGGAGGGGGGGGGGTAATGGTGGAGGGGCGGGAGGCTACCAGCATTTGGTGTGGGGATTGTTTTATGGCCTGGATGGTGAGTATAAGGGTATTGGTAAGGCTGTGGGATAAGCTACGGCCTGAATGGTGAGTGTAAGGGGGTAGGGTTATTGGTAAGGATTGAGCGGGTAGGCCACCAACACTTGGTGTAGGGGGGGGGGGGGACGTGTATTGCCTGGATGATGAGTAAAGTGTGGAGGGTAAGGGTATTGGCGAGGCGGGTAGAGGCAGGGGATGCACTGGCAAATGGGGGGGGGGGGTAGATCACGATGTGGGGATTGTTTTACTGCTTTGATAGTTAGTGCACTTGGGGGGTGTGAGGTGGGGGGGGGGGGGAAATGGTTGTGATGTTAGCAGAAGGGAGCCATGGAACTGAAGTAATTGGGGAAGTGGAGTTGTACTGCTTTACTGTATAACAAATCATAAACAAAAATTTAAAAATTATTGCTGTTTTGTATTCCAGGTTACAGATATAATGATATAGGAGAAACTGGTTTGTATTACAGGTGACAGATATAAGGTTACAGGAGAAACTGTTTTGTATTCCAGGTGACAGATATAATGTTATAGGAGAAACTGTTTTGTATTCCAGGTGACAGATATAATGTTGCAAGAGTAATTTTGTATTCCAGGTGACAGATATAATGTTACAGGAGAAACTGTTTTGTATTCCAGGTGACAGATATAATGTTACAGGAGAAACTGCTTTGTATTCCAGGTGACAGATATAATGTTACAAGAGTAATTTTGTATTCCAGGTGACAGATATAATGTTACAAGAGTAATTTTGTATTCCAGGTGACAGATATAATGTTACAGGAGAAACTGTTTTGTATTCCAGGTGACAGATATAATGTTACAGGAGAAACTGTTTTGTATTCCAGGTGACAGATATAATGTTACAGGAGAAACTGTTTTGTATTCCAGGTGACAGATATAATGTTACAGGAGAAACTGCTTTGTATTCCAGGTGACAGATATAATGTTACAGGAGAAACTGTTTTGTATTCCAGGTGACAGATATAATGTTACAGGAGAAACTGCTTTGTATTCCAGGTGACAGATATAATGTTACAAGAGTAATTTTGTATTCCAGGTGACAGATATAATGTTACAGGAGAAACTGTTTTGTATTCCAGGCGACAGATATAATGTTACAGGAGAAACTGCTTTGTATTCCAGGTGACAGATATAATGTTACAGGAGAAACTGCTTTGTATTCCAGGTGACAGATATAATGTTACAGGAGAAACTGCTTTGTATTCCAGGTGACAGATATAATGTTACAAGAGTAATTTTGTATTCCAGGTGACAGATATAATGTTACAAGAGTAATTTTGTATTCAAGGTGACAGATATAATGTTATAGGAGAAACTGTTTTGTATTCCAGGTGACAGATATAATGTTACAAGAGTAATTTTGTATTCCAGGTGACAGATATAATGTTACAAGAGTAATTTTGTATTCCAGGTGACAGATATAATGTTACAGGAGAAACTGTTTTGTATTCCAGGTGACAGATATAATGTTACAGGAGAAACTGTACCCCCACTGGGGAATATGTCTGAGAAGGTGGTGGAACAAAGGCTACAACCGCATCATCGTCTTCTGGATCGTCGTCCCCAGCTGCTCAACCCTGGTCATCCTGAACATCTACACTGAGTATATTTTATGGGACAGCATCAACGGATATTTGCCGCACACCGATGAGATGTCTCGCTCCTACCTGGCATCCTTCATTCTGGTACTTGATGTCACCATTGCTATGCAGGTTTGTTTACGTTTTTTGTTTTGTTTACATTCTGTGATATCAGCCTGGCATCCTTCATTCTGGTACTTGATGTCACCATTGCTATGCAGGTTTGTTTACGTTTTTTGTTTTGTTTACATTCTTTGATATCAGCTTGGCATCCTTCATTCTGGTACTTGATGTCACCATTGCTATGCAGATTTGTTTACATTTTTTGTTTACATTCTGTGATATCAGCTGGGCATCCTTCATTCTGGTACTTGATGTCACCATTGCTATGCAGGTTTGTTTACATTTTTTGTTTACATTCTGTGATATCAGCTGGGCATCCTTCATTCTGGTACTTGATGTCACTATTGCTATGCAGGTTTGTTTACATTTTTGTTTTGTTTACATTCTTTGATATCAGCTGGGCATCCTTCATTCTGGTACTTGATGTCACCATTGCTATGCAGGTTTGTTTACATTTTTGTTTTGTTTACATTCTGTGATATCAGCTGGGCATCCTTCATTCTGGTACTTGATGTCACCATTGCTATGCAGGTTTGTTTACGTTTTTTGTTTTGTTTACATTCTGTGATATCAGCTGGGCATCCTTCATTCTGGTACTTGATGTCACCATTGTTATGCAGGTTTGTTTACATTTTTGTTTACATTCTGTGATATCAGCTGGGCATCCTTCATTCTGGTACTTGATGTCACCATTGCTATGCAGGTTTGTTTACATTTTTGTTTTGTTTACATTCTGTGATATCAGCTGGGCATCCTTCATTCTGGTACTTGATGTCACCATTGCTATGCAGGTTTGTTTACGTTTTTTGTTTTGTTTACATTCTTTGATATCAGCTGGGCATCCTTCATTCTGGTACTTGATGTCACCATTGCTATGCAGGTTTGTTTACGTTTTTTGTTTTGTTTACATTCTGTGATATCAGCTGGGCATCCTTCATTCTGGTACTTGATGTCACCATTGCTATGCAGGTTTGTTTACATTTTTTGGTTTACATTCTTTGATATCAGCTGGGCATCCTTCATTCTGGTACTTGATGTCACCATTGCTATGCAGGTTTGTTTACGTTTTTTGTTTTGTTTACATTCTGTGATATCAGCTGGGCATCCTTCATTCTGGTACTTGATGTCACCATTGCTATGCAGGTTTGTTTACGTTTTTTGTTTTGTTTACATTCTGTGATATCAGCTGGGCATCCTTCATTCTGGTACTTGATGTCACCATTGCTATGCAGGTTTGTTTACGTTTTTTGTTTACATTCTGTGATATCAGCTGGGCATCCTTCATTCTGGTACTTGATGTCACCATTGCTATGCAGGTTTGTTTACGTTTTTTGTTTACATTCTGTGATATCAGCTGGGCATCCTTTATTCTGGTACTTGATGTCACCATTGCTATGCAGGTTTGTTTACGTTTTTTGTTTACATTCTGTGATATCAGCTGGGCATCCTTTATTCTGGTACTTGATGTCACCATTGCTATGCAGGTTTGTTTACATTTTTTGTTTTGTTTACATTCTTTAATCTCCAATGGATGTCATCATCTTAACCCGTTCGTGCCCAAGACATATGGGGCAGATGAAGTAAAGTTAATCTATTTCATGGACCTCGGCATACAAGGGGATAGTGTGAACAACGCTATGCTCAACCCCCTTTGCTTCCTTTATGTGAGTCAGGTATCCATTAGAGCTGGGTGGACTCAGGGACGTACTGCGTACTCAAGCCCAGGATCCGAACCTGAGACTTCCACAGGGCATATGGGTAAAAAAATTCAAGATAAAGTAGAGTTCACCTGTGCCTATGACCTTTGGTAATGAATAGAAAGAGTTAAGATTAGAATTAAAGGAAGCGATATTATATGGTTGCCTAATAGAAACATGTATAAAAGTTGCAGACATTTTAATAGAATTCACAATAGTTCTAAACCATAGCTGTTGACCAGTATGTAACTAACATAAATACTAGGAAAAGAAGTTTATGGACATCCTTTTAAACTGTAAAATGTATCATTAACCTGTTGTTTATTAAATAGTATTGAATAGCTCCACATTTTTTTTGTGTCATCGAAACTGCAACTCTTGCTAAAAAGAAAATTAATAGCTGAACCTTATTAATATGCCATGTTTAAATGTTTAAAATCTTTTTTTTTATAAAGAGAACTTCACATTCAACAAATAACAAATATTTTCTTCATCATTCATTATTATCAAGCGTTTATATTATGAGCCTTAGAATTATTATCTTTTTTATATATTTATGATGATGAATAGCTAAATTCAATAATAATAGACAGGATTTTAAAATCGTAATATTTCTTACCAGTAGTAATAATTTTTTAAGAATAACCTGAAGATATTATGTTTAAACATAAATACAATACTAATTTTTTATAAATAATAACGGGAGAGAACTCTCATTTTTTTAAAAAGTATCCAACATTGTTACTTCCCTTACCATTTATTAATTTTTCTTATATTAGTTACTATAATAAAAGTACTATTTAAGTAATCTAAATAAAATTAGTGAATTTTGTATTGATTAAAAAAATAGAATACAATAAATATCAATGACTTTAAATTATTGATAAGATAATTATTTTGTTTAATATTATTCATAACCCGAGAAACTTTAAGAATTTGACAATGGCATTTACATTTGGACCATTTATTTTGAAACATTCTTTAGCTTTGCGCAGTGGCGGTACCATAGCCAATGAGGTTTTACCGAGGCGTGGTTATTGCTAGTTGAAAACTATTCCCAATACCCCGCACGGACGACCCTAACAGGTCGGCCAGTGCAATTTTTTACAGCTCTTACGGGAGCTAAATTTATTTAATGTCAAATGAGTGGTCTAAAGCTCCTGACTAGTGATCCCGATGAAGCGGGGATAATGGACTTAAAAGCCACTTTGTTAATATTGTTATTACAGCGGATAATTAGTTTACTTGTTAATCCTATAGATTTGTTGTTTTAATAATAGAATTTTTTTTAAAGGACTGGGACTTTCCCCATTTTGTTGGTAGCATAGACATCAAGATGCCTGGGTTTAACTTAACCTCAATCAATGTCAAAATTCCCAAATTTATGAAGTCACTGGAATACTGGCATATTCATATATCTGGTAAATACAATTTTATCCTTTAAATTTTACCTAATTTCTACACTCCCTCTCCCTCCCTATAATCAGTGGCGTCACAAGTGGGTGCAAACTGCACAGAGTACCACCATTTAGGGGATGCACCCATAGCAAAAAATTGTTTTTATATCAAGCATATTATTATACAACAGCTGAGTGTGAAAGTGTGTGTGTATGGAGGAGGGGGGCCTCTAGTAAAAAATAATTGTCCATTTTAATGTGCAAGTTGGTTTCATTAATTTTGTCTTTATCTTGATACTTTAAACTAACTCTTACAGTTTTCATTTTTAAAAAAAATGTAATAAAATTTGGCGTTAACTGAGAAGTCTCTGAGATATTTTTAAATACATGCATAGTAAAGCTTTCAAAAAAAATCAATTTTCAGGCATCTGTTTCATTGTCATAACTATTTTTCAGCATGTTATTAGTGAGTTCAAAACATTTTTTTATTCTGATTATTATTTTAAAATTGCATGTTTCATAAAAACATAACTTTTTAAAATGTATTGTTGATAAATAAAGTTTGGGGTATACGGCATCAGCTGTTTGACACCCAACCTTGTGACGTCACTGCCTATAATCATAACTTATTGCAAAACACTAACCCCCACCCTCATCAGAAATATACCCTCCACCAATCACTGATGCACACACACACAATAATCATCCTTTGTTCATAATACATTTTCTTTTATTAAATTCAAATAATTATCTATGTCACACATATTATGAAAAATGCTTCATCTACGGCATTATCTATAGATTATTTTCTAAATCATTGTTTTAACCATTTTTATTCTTTGCATTATTTTTCAGGTAAATGGTTCAATTATGGTATACTCTCAATTGTAATCCTCCTTGACATGAATATGTGGAAAAACCAGATGTTCTATTCCCCCCAGAACTTTGGACAGTACGTGGATGAGAATAACAAGATATACACAGTCACTGACCCTTTAAGCTTAGAAGCTAATTCCACAGTTCTCAGCCTAAGATATCGACAGACACACATAAACAATCTCACAGGGGAGTTGTATATTTTAGGTGACATTGAAATGAATTCCCGATATGTTGGTTATCCTCTACATCTTAAAGGATTTGCATTCATTCCTTGCCTGTCCATCTTTTTCATTTTTGCTGTGATGATATTCATCTATGGACGTAAGCCTAAACCAACTGAAAATAATCCATATGCTGGTCGACTGCTTAAGAGAAAACGCAGGACGAGGCTGGGAAGCTGGTGGTTGAATTTGATTACTTTTAATCTTTTAAATCCAACAGAGTCGGAGTCAAGCTTACACCCAGATGACGATGCTCTTAAATCAGGTAGGAAATCTTTAAAGAAAGACAAGAGTAGTATATCATATTTAAGTAAAAAAGATATTGATGAAGAGGAGAAAAGGCAATCCGTTGGGCAGTTGACGAGTGATTTACAACTTGGCAAGGATCAGAGCCAAACAGACAGAAATTCATACCCTGGAGATGAAAGTCAAGCAATAATAGAAGACAATTCAGAGGTTGAAAAGGAAAATCAAGCAAAAGCAGAAAGCATTTCAGGTTCTGAAGACAGAAGTCAAGCATCAACAAAAGGCAATTCAGATGTTCAAAGCAAAAATCAAGCAAAAGCAGAAAGGACTTCAGTTTCTGAAGACAGAAGTCAAGCATCAACAAAAGGCAATTCAGATGTTCAAAGCAAAAATCAAGCAAAAGCAGAAAGGATTTCAGTTTCTGAAGACAGAAGTCAAGCATCAACAAAAGGCAATTCAGATGTTCAAAGCAAAAATCAAGCAAAAGCAGAAAGGACTTCAGTTTCTGAAGACAGAAGTCAAGCATCAACAAAACGCAATTCAGATGTTCAAAGCAAAAATCAAGCAAAAGCAGAAAGGACTTCAGTTTCTGAAGACAGAAGTCAAGCATCAACAAAAGGCAATTCAGATGTTCAAAGCAAAAATCAAGCAAAGGCAGAGAGCAATTCAGGTTCTGAAGACAAAAGTCAAGCATCATCCAAAAGGCAAAGCTTAAAAATGGAAGTCAAGCAAAGACAGGAAACAATTAAATAATAAAAAAAACAAAAGTAAAAAAAAACTAATCAAGTTATTCAAAGGTTGAAAGGAAAAACTCCCAGCACAAGGACAATTGATCAAAACAATTCAGCAATCAATTACACCATGAAGACTGAACTTTCATGCAATTTGACTGAATGTTATCCATGAATAAATGGAATTTTATGTTCACTGTCTGGAAGCTATTTCAGCTATTTATATATTTCTGTTTTTGTATTAACCAGTTAAAATGAAAAGATTTCTACTTGAAGTACCTGGTTTTCAATGTTCTCTCACAATACTCAGCTGTTTTCACTCCACACTACTGTTGAAATTAATTAAGTTATTATCTTCAGCCATATGAAAATTTCAATTTTATTTTGTAACAAACTTTTTCTTCATACTCAGCATATTATATTAGTAGAAAAGGTAATGATAGAACCACAAAACAATTTATTGAAAAATAAAATAAAATATTTGTTTCTTTTATTAGACTTTCAAATTTGATCAAAAAATAGAGAGAACTGACAATAGGAAAATTACAGATTTTATGTTTTTAATCTGGTTTTTTAGGCTCATGTGACTATAGTGGTGTTTTTTTTTAAATCTTGTTGTAATTTACACAAGGGGTTGTCCAGTTATTATGTCACACTTGTAGGGGGGAGGGGGTTCAGTAATTATGCATTGGAATGATGGGGGGGGGGCAAGGTTCAGAAAATCTGATGTCACACTTTTGGATTTAAAAAAAGTAATGTTAGAAGCTGAATTTTAGCCATTATTTCACATTTTAGAAAACCATTTTAATAAAATGTAATAGAAATTAATTACTCTATGTTCACCAAGTTTAGTCAATATTTTAGAAAAAATCAAGGTTTAAAAAAAAAAGGGGGAAGGGGTGTTGGCTGATGTGTGATGTCATTTATGGATGATCCATTTTTTTTATCATGAAAATCCTATTTTTTAGTGTGCTTTTGATTCAGTTTTCCTCAAAACTTAACTATTGTCTTAAATTAGTAGTTGTCATAAATATTTTTTTTATTAAAATCTATAGTTTGAAATAGCTATGTTGTCAAATATGTAAATAAAGATATTTTTTTAACACCTTTTGTGACTGATCTGTTTGTTACAGCATTTTTTTTTTTTTTTGAAATCACACTTTGCCTCATAATTCATGTGATGTTAACTTAATTTTGTGTGATCTTGTTGCTAAACTTTTTACATGTGATCTTATTGACCAAAACTTTTACCCAACTAAGAGCAATTTAAATGAACATAAAGTTATTTTTGTTGAATGAACTTGATGAATGTAAAAAAAAAAATTGGATTGTGAATTTGTTGATAGAGTATATTATTAAACAATCACAAAAACATATACTAAGTTGGTGTAACAATCAGAGTTGTATTAAACTGTTAAAAATTTTTTAATCATCGTAAATTACTTTATTAAATGACATTTAGTTTAACAGAATAACTTCTTTTCTAAATTTTCTGTTTTAGATAGTATTTTTAATTAAATCATCACTTGTTAAAAATATTAAAAGATCTAGCAAGTTGGAAAATATTAATTAACTAATTTTGTTAGTTTAGTAAAGTAGGTATTTGTCATATAGAATAATAAAATTTAAGAATGAAACATGTATATATTATGAATATGTTATACCATGAATGGAACATGAAATTTTGTGAAGATTTAAGGCATCATTTATGGATAAATTACAAATGTATAAACTCTATATTAGATAACACAGAAAAGTATTTTTTAAAGTTTATCTTAACAACTGCAATCTGGTCATGTACATAGACTTCTTTGCTCAGTATTTCACTCTTGAGACCACTCAGCTTTAATGAGTACCTAACATTAAATACCATCCTAGCTCTTCTTCTGTTGCGTCCAAGTATGTCCCTGAGCTCTCTCAGATCTAACAAGTACCTAACATAAATGTTGACTATATTAGAGAAAGTACCTTTTTAATGGCGGTGTGGCAGGGAGCTAACTCTGAAGTCTTGAATTAAAATCAGGATTCAAGTCAGTAGAACGTCCCAACCAGCTCTGATGGGTACCTTACATTAGGGAAATAAAAGTGGCTGGGCATAGTGCTGGCCACACTATCCCTCCATATACAGTAGTCACAGAAACAGGTGAACTCTACTTCACTTGCCTCATTGACCATCAGGTTAAAAACATTATTTTTTTTTTTTTTTACTTTTTTTAAATGTCATGTCCACAGAAACTAATACTCTAATAACTAATACTGGTATAGTTTCAAGATCTGTATAAAATGCTCGTCTGTGATTATTTGATATTTATTGTATGTGCTGGTGTTTACTAAATAAATTAATATATCTAAATATGCGTCTGTGTCCTTAACCATCTATTGGCTCTGGTCAACTTTGCTCAATAATTATTTTTATGTTTTAGATTATTACTATTAATATAAAGCAAAAGCATTTGTTTACAATTATATCCACATTTTAAAGGAAAATATAATTATTTTTTTAAAAATGTTATTTAAATACTGAATGTTGTTAATGATAAGCTATTTTTTAGGAGTATTGAAATAGTTCTTATAAAATTTAAAATTATTTATCATTGTGGTTTTTTTATGAAGGAAAAACATAATTTTACAGAAAAGTGTGAAACATAAACTTGTAATCTATAAATGTGATATGATGTTTGAAGTCAGATTTCATTGCTTAAAAATATTCATCTCATTATTTTTTTTCTAAATGATGTGTATTCCATTTTTTTTTATTTTGCTCTTCTAAATACACAGTTAAATAAGACAAAGGTAACTTGAAGTTACAGGAAAAGAAGTGAAATATTATTTTTTTTTATGTGCTTATTTTCAGTCATGTTGTTATTGACTCTCTTTCTCTTTCCCCCCCCCCCCCCCCCCCCCCCCCCCCAACATTTATAGGTAGACACAATTTATATAGCTGAGTTTAAAAATAAACGACTCCTGATATTAAAGGATGATATTAAAATGTGGTGTTGTTAATTAGTAAATCTTGCAATCACAACGCCATTGCTTCTCCATCACTTCAGAGCACAACAAAATCCAAGCCAAGAGAAAAATTTCTGAATAGTAAAATTTTCAGGTTAATGGTTCTATTCTGCTTGACTTTCCCAGTAATTAATAACTTATTAATTTATTATATTGATATTAAAACAGTACATTTTAACCTACACCTTAATTTGTAAAAAATGTGATATTTTTCTTTACCTTTTTGTTTTGAACTGTTTAATGAAGATCATGATCATAGCAGGTATATTTAAATTTGTAAATATATAATCAAAGCCACACTAATAATTACCTGTATCATGTATGTTAATTATGCTGTTGTTGGTGTCTTTGGTTTGAAAGAGCTGGTGGTATTTGGAACTCTTTCATGCAAGAAATTATAATTATGTTAATCCAAATCTTCAGTGCTTTTGTTTTCTCGAGTAGTGCTTTTAGCTGTGTTGGTCTTTGTTTTCTGTGTTTAATTGAGCTTTGGTATCAAGTAGGACAAAACCTATGCTAGTATGTTTTTCTGACTTCATCATATAAAAAGATTGTGTGGCAAGACCTATGTGCAGTCGCGTTACCTTCAGTTAATTAAGGCAGGAACCTAATAGAGCTGAGAGGGCTCAGCCACTTCTTACAGACTCCTCAAGCCTTCTGACAAAATTTGAGATTTTGGTACAGAAGCATTACATTTTCCTTCTAGAGTCCAGTATCACATGAACCCTCAAAGTTTTATAATTCTCATATCAATAAACTATTATAAATACTAGGAATGCACTTAATATAATGGCTGACGGAAAAATATCGAACTAAGTCTGTATATATGGTTGATATTCACTTCATTAATTATATTATTAAGAGATCAAAATTTCCTAGTAAATAAATAATTGAACACTGTTGATAATTAGTTTTAACCATTTTTATTTTATAATATTCTTTTGATGCTCCCTCCTGTTCCACAAATCAAAAGTTATATAAAACAACAGAATGGAAGTTCTACAGTAATTAATCTACACATGATGAAGTCATTGAGGAATGCATTGACTGGGGCAATTATTAGAGTTTTTACAGCACAGATTAATCTATTCAAAACATAAAACAATGAGTTTTGATGGTAAACATTTCCAAATAGTTAAGAAAATATCTCTAAGAGTATACAATTTTTTAGACAAACAACCATAAACATTTAAAACATTTACTTTCTATTATACTTATAGTAGGTTTAGCTATAACTTTTGATTTTGATAACACAATCTTATTTCCTGTTTACAAAAAAAAACAATCTTAAACAAAACAAAAAATTTGAATTCTATGTAAATTTACAAGTTTACAGAGGTCATCACAAGATTATATGGCAAATTTGAATTGAAATGATAATAAAAAGTAGGGAAAAAAAATAGATTTTCAAAATAGAGATTTTTATAAATGAATAGAACAACCAGTTGAATAAACAAAAAATGGGATGAATCAAATAGAAGGTTTACAATTTCATGGAAAATACATATATTTGACAAATTGTGACATGTTATTATGGACAAGTATGAATAATATCACTGTATAATATGCACATGTTAAGTTTATCCCAACATTGTTATGCATCATTAGATTTATCCCCCTTTACAAAAAAGTAAATAAAATAAAAAGTGTCAGCAAAAAGTTACCTAACAAAAAGTTATTGCCTGATGCAATAAATGTACTAAAGTTTTGAAAAAAACAATAAGAAAAACAATTTAGAAACCAATTATAAATTGTATTCAGAAAAGATGTACAGCTGATAAAAAAGACTATAGTTGATAGACAAAATAAAACAAGCAAAAATAGAACATTGTTGAAAGTTATTATACAAATAATTGAAAAACTACATAAACATTTTAAGATTTAAATAGACTGATAAATTTAAAAAAAAAAAAAACAGAAAAATGTATTCAAAATCACTTCTGAAATTATAGAAAAACTACAGGAAACTGCTTTAAAAATCTTCCCCAGTTTGTGTTTGAGGCAGTGAAACCATAGTAGAAGAATCATCACATAACCGTTAATTTCCAACAGTTACTTGTACACACAAATTTTAAGAAAAATGCAGATTTCTTCATCGCAAATTTGCACACTGCTAATAATTTTAAGATACTGATTTCTTGAAGGAAACAAGTTTTTCTATTCTTATCTTTTAATTTTTCATGACTGTTATACTTCATTTTAAGGGGAGAAAAAATTCAATTCTTTTTATTACTTTAGCTACTAATGATTTTTATCAATTTAAGACTAACACTTTGATTGCATTGGCTTTGTTCCTGTACAAATAAAAGCGATAATCTCCATACAGTGGTACTAGTAAATATTTTAACTTATTCTAAAATAAAGTTCAGAAAATATTAACTCTGATTCTTTTGAAGCAGTTACTAAAAGTATATCATTTATTAAAAATAGATGATTTACATCTTAATAATGTACTAACAATGCACTGATGTTTTACTTGGTTTTCCATCATAAAAATATTCTGTCAAATGCAACCTTTACATATTTGGTATATAGGTTTTAATTTTATTAAAGACATGTTGATTCGTAGGATATATTAAATTAATTTTGATCTTTGTATTTTGTTCCATGTATTTTCTGTTCTGGGAAATTATAGAAAAATAATTTGGTAAAATATCAGCAGTTAAAGTTCAACAGCAATTTGATTGGTTACTTTGATTAGTTCTTGCTAAGTTTTTGTAAGTAATTTTATTTTAATTGGGTGAATATCAGCACTTGAATGTTGAACAGTAGTTTTGTGAACAAAAAAAAAAACAACAGAATGTATGTGAAACACACACTTGAGATATACAACAAAATAATATGTATCACATTTCAAGTAGAATATAAATCAGCACATATCTGTTTAAAGATCATCAGTTTTTACACAATAGAATAAATTTTATAACAATGGCGTCTAAAAAGTTTGTTCTTATAAATGCTCATTAATATAAAACTCAGCAGGATAAAAAATTATTTTATAAAAATGTGTTAAAGAAAACTAGTTGTTTAGTGTATTTAGTTTACAAATATTGGACTTGATACAACAAAACACTACATAATTGATAATCCTTTTTTTTAAGGTGTTTTTTTTTAAACCGTGGAGAAATTTTTTTAGATTTTATAAAAACAATAGAATCACTTATCACTAAACAAAAATGTTTACATTAAGGAAATAAACTGGGAAAAACAAACAACCAAAAGAAGATCAGGTAATGGTTCGAATGTTTTTGGTGGAATTACAGGTGAGCAAAGAAGAAAACAAAAAATTTTGGAATTGAAATTCGACCACAATGAGTTTCAACATTTTTTTAAAAAACGTAACAACATATATGTGTATAGGTAACGTGATTACACAGTTTTCACAGAGGAAAAAATTGCAATTGGCATTTTTATAGAAGTATGCTATTCAATTTTGTTCAGGCAATACAATAATAGTTACTAAGCTACATGTAAATTTTACAGCAAATAGTACATCTGATTCTCACTATATATAAATGTTACCACAGCTTAACATACAATACAACGGCTATCTACCGTATAAAAAATGTATAGAAATAGCAGATAAGACATCTGTTGTCCACTACATCCAAATTGTATGCAGTTCAGCAGATAATCAAATTCTATCTTACTCTGCTCTGTTGGTCCCCATTATCCTGAATGACAACATATTAGAGATCCTTACATTTTAATTAGTTGTATGTCTATGTATACACAAAATGATCATAATCATGTCTATTTATTAAGCAACGTTAAATATGTATATATATATATATATATATATATATATATATATATATATATATATATATATATATATATATATAAATATATATTAATTAATAAAGTTGTATGTCTTTATAAAGTTTAAGTCTATTTCAACACTTTAATGTTATACAAAATATATTTTAAATTATCTTTTTTTAAAATATTCAAAAAGTTCATTAAGTATAACTGTTTTTTTTTTAATTTGAAATCTTTTTACAATAGTATACAAATAAATCTGATTAAATGTTAATTTGATTACAAAATATAAGATAACATTATAACTTAGGTACCACATATAAGATAAAAAGATCAAAGGGTATTTTCAATTCCTTTACTCAATAATTTTTTAAATAATCTTCCCACCATTTGGCTGTACTATGTTACTATATTTAAGATAACTAAAACAGAAGTAACAGCAAGGAAGACAAGTTTTGAGCAAATAAACCTGGTCTGTTATTTGGTCTAGAAAATAAAATGCTTTTTTTAAGTGAATTTAAAAACAGAAACTATTATCATTATGTCATTAAATTATTTAAAAGAAATTAAACAAATAAGTGATTTATATTTTTAAAATTTAAAAGAAATAAGAAAGTCATTTGATAAATGAGTATTATATCCATATTCTACTCTTGTAAATATTATATAATGTTATTATTCATATTAAGATGGTTGTTTTTTTTACATTTTAAATAACAAATAAAATGAGATATTAATTGTAAAATTAAAAACAATACATTCTAAAAATCTGTTGCCTAAATTGTAATGCGGTGTTTTAGATTTTTCCTTAAAAATTGTTACATTTGTCTTTTTTTTTAAACTGTTTTTCATTCCCAGTGAATCAATCTGTTATTTTTGCTTACCAAACATATGATGACTACCAAAAAATATTAACGACATTTCATTTTTTAACAAAATAATGTTACAGTAACTAAAACTAAACAAAAGAAAATTCAATTCTGGATAATTATTTTTAAAAATGTACATCCATGAAATATCCAGGAAATAACAACATCATTGTATCATCACAGCGAGGTAAAGCTGGCCAATAGCAAACTGAATAAAAAAAAAAAAATTTAATTCCCCTTTTTTTACAAAGTCAGTAGAAATATGAGGATTGACTGACAAAACTGTCAGTTAATTATAGCATATTATAAAAGATTTGTCCGTGGATACTCAGCTATACCACAGCTAATTTCCCTCTTTGTAAGAAAAATTATAAATAGATTACAAAAATGACATTATTTACTTAACATTAAAAAGTATCCTTTGATAAAATGCATTATATTGGTTCTGCTGAGTTTTACAAGGTAACAACTCTACTTAAAAAAATCTGGCAAAGTTGTGAATGCCCTTCATTTGTTAAAACTGTTACTCTAAACAAATTTTAATGATATTATTATCATACAATCAAAGTATAGCACCATATATTTACAAACATTATGACCCTAAATGCTTCAATAAAGTAAAAAAAATTACCATATGTATAATTATTTTTTAAACATGATCCATATTTATTTATAAAAATAGTTTTTCCCACTTGTACCAAGAAAATGTACACATAACTTTTTTTTTATCCACAGAAGCCAGCAAAAGCAAACCTTACCATTGACAGAACCTGATAAATAAGTTCTTGGTCTTACAAAATACTATAAATAATACATTTAATCATATGCTTATAAACCAACTGAAAATACATGAGAAAAAGTTTAACACCTTTGAAAAGATATCGCACCGAAATAAATCATAGGCTTACTATAGTTAAAATATATAATTTGGCAAGCTCTATTCACTGAAAAATCACTGCCACCTAAAAAAAAGATTTTCAATTACAATGAATAAGGAAAAAAATATATTAGAATACATTAAAAAGAAGGTGTTACATTTTACTCAGAACATATAAAGACTTTAAAAAAAAAAAAATTAGATTTTTAAAATAAACGTTTTCTTAATACAAAATGATGCCTATTGTACGAGCATCATGGAGGTGGGCTTATTTAATTTTCACTACATCCAGATCTGTCCCAAGTCCTAATCTTAACCACAACATCAGCAGTAAATAAAACAATAAAAGAGTACTGTTTCTTCCATACTGGCCAGTTAAAAGAACCCAGAGAATTAGAATGTCTTCTGATTTAACAAATGGAGATCTTTATTTCCATGTTGCAAAACTACAATCACAGGAAGTGCTTTTTTGATGAAGGGAAACTTTTAGGAATGAAAGCTCGTAAACTGAGAATATCTGTGTTCAATTATTATGAAGTGTTTTTAAAGCTAGTAAAAATATAAGTAAATGTTTTCATGGAATTATTTAAGTTTCTATTATAAATAATAAGGGTCTCTTTTCAAACACTTTACATACCTATAATACACAGAAAATGAGTTAAGTATTATTTCATATAATATTATTGAATGTTATTTTTGTAAAAGTACAATGAAAAATAAATCAAAATATAAACAATTATAACTGACATTGGAAAACTGATATAGGTTTTTACTTTTTTTGATTTACTCCCAAGTATTAGTTATAAATAAAATCAACATGTGAGATGTTTACAAATGGTAATATCTAACTGCACTAATGGCACAGTTATAAAGGAAATCAGATTTGTAATAATAGTTATAATAATAATAATTGCCTGAACTGTTGAAACTGGAGGTACTGAACACAGGTTATTTTATCAGATACAGTGAACTATTAAACATTTCAAAATATTTTTTTTTTATTTGGTTTAAATTAAAGTAGAAAAATAATTACTTAACTAATTTCAACAGTGCAGGCAATTTTTACATTTCAGCACTGTAGTTTTGGCAGTAAGGTCTGATGTCTAAAAATGTGCTAAAAATATGAATAAAATGTGTTCTACCCTGTTGTTCAGACATGATCAATCATTTTTACAAAATAGGAAAAAAAAATATTGTTCTAATATACAATCATTATGAACTTAAATTGTACAAACTTCATATATTTTGTTCTAATCTAATATTATTTTGTTTAGGAATGTAGATATTGTTACCATCTGCTTGTGGTTCACCCAAGCCTGCTTCATTAAAATCCCTATTGCCAACCACTTCTGAACCTGGCCGGGAATTTACATTTTTTAACTTATTTACATCACTGTCTATATTAATTTCATTATCATTATTATCATTTGCTTGTACATTATTGTCATTATTTTTTGTAATAATTACACCTTCGTTTTCATTATTATTTACATCAATTTTATCCTCCCTATAAATACCACCACCTTCATTATCACCTGCATTATTCTCCAAGTCTTTTAAACTACTGTCTTCACCTATTTCAGCATTCATATTCTCCAAATCGTCTCCTAATTCAGCATTTGTGTCAGCATCAGGCTGAACATTCATGCCTGGTTCTATGTAGTCATTCAAGTCATTCTTATCCCCTTCACCAAGTGGAATGTTCAGATTTCTGTTGTCTTCTATAAAGACTTCACGCCTGGGGTTCACCTGATCATCACCAGGATTATTACCTCTCTTCTGTATATTAAATTGTTCATCAGAAGACTGGTTTCCACTGGGATATTTGTGTTGGCTCAGCTCTTTCTCCTGTGTGTGAAAAATTATTTTTAAAATTTAAGAATCATGTTAGTAAAAATGTTAATTCTGTAAATGGTAATTGTTAAAAAAAATCTAAAAAGAAATTTAGAGTGAAATACAAGGAAATTTTTAAATTACCTAATGTATATGGAATAAACACATTGGTAAAAATGTGTACATAAAATGAGTTTAAAAATCCAACAGTTCATAGCTTTTCAATGTTTTTTTTTTAAATATTTTCAACAAAATATTACTCTTATATTTGCTTGTTTATCTACCTTCATTCAAATTTTCATTTTAGATTTGTATAAACTATAAGTGAAAGCCAAATTTGTGCTTATTATCTAGTTACTAACACCATTTTTAAAATTAAAAACCAAAAGCCAATATTATTTGAGCATTAATTATGATTCTGATTACCACACCTGAAGGACATGTAACTCTGCATTGATTTCAACAAGATGCTTCAGCTGTTTCAGAAAGAGGTCTGCCAATTTCCCACAGTTGGATGGCTTAGCTTCATTCAGGTTTCTATTCATCACTTGCAGAAATTGTGAGTCTAGATCTCCACCAAGCTGAAACTGTGAACAAAACAACTGGTTACTGATTTTAAACAAGAAATTTACACTTGTATATATATTACATGGGAGGGCATGGTCAGATGGTAGAGCTCATGACTGATAACCAGAAAGTCTGAAGTTTAAATCCCTTGATCGAATCTGTTAGATATCCCTGTGTCCGTCTAGTTCTGATGTGTACCTGACACGTTAGGGAAACAAAGGGAGCTGGGCATAGTGCAGAGGTCATTAAAACAAATGAACTCTACTTTATCTGCCCCATGTGTCATGAACAGGTAAAGATAATAATGATAAACATTTTAGTACATTTTTATAACTATAAAATGAAGCAGTGGTTTCATAAAACAAGAACAATAATAAAATATTTAACAAATGGAATTTTACTGTTTACTATAAAATTAACAAGTTCCCTACATTATTCTAAAAAAAAAATGATAAATCAAACATAAATTTTAAAATATAATAAGTTTAAACTTAACAATGACGATAATATTTGTTCTTACGTTTTTAAATGTATTGAAAACAACCCCAAATGCTGGCTCCTTCTCTTCATAGAACATTCGTCGTGAGCCATGCAGGACCGATATCCCATCCTGCTCAGCAGACTTGCAGTTGCTAAGATACCTGCAGTGATCAGTACGGAAGTTCCAGGAACAGGACATCAGGTACAGTTGATCTGTTCAAGACAAGGTCAAAGGTCAAAGTTAAGTTCTCTGTCATACCCAATGCTACCGCAGGGCTGATGAAGTAGTTTATCTATTTTTTAGGGAACGGCATAAAACACTAACTCTGTGTGCAGTACCATGACCAAAGTTTACTTTCCTTGACTTAAGTCCCTTGCTTCTTACAATATGATAGACATTCTACAGTCTTAAGTATGAAACAAAAACCTGAAGCTATTGCCTAACAACTGTACACTCAACCATAATATCAAGGACATCCTGCAAATTTAATGGTGCTGATAATGCCTTTAGTGATGGATAAATACACCCAAAGAGAGACTGATCAATGTCTTTGAGGAAAACTTGTATTAAAAAAATGAAATAAGCACTTTTAAGTATCTTATTGGACACAGTGCAACTCATGTAAGTTCCAGATAGGAGTTCTCTAATCAAACAACATGGCAGGTAGATTACTGTTAAATATTTACAGTACTTAGTTTAATGAGTTCCATTGTAAACATAAGAAAAAACTTTTTTTTTTAATTTATATTTCTTTAAAATATCAAATCATCTCAAATTCATCCAATCCAACATTTTATTTTTACTTACCTGGATGAGCTGCAAAAAAGATATTGATAAGGTCTTGGTCCCCCCAGGGGATCATCATACGATATTTATTGTAAAAAATCTGCATGTCTGAAAGCCAGGATGTTTTCCTTAGTCTGGTCAAGTTCATTAGCATCACGCCAGAGTTGACACCTAAATACAACAATTTAATTAGTCTGGTCAAGTTCATTAACATCATGCCAGAGTTGACACCTAAATACAACAATTTTATTAGTCTGGTCAAGTTCATTAACATCACCCCAGAGTTCACACCTAAATACAACAATTTAATTAGTCTGGTCAAGTTCATTATTGTCAGAGTTCACACCTAAATACAACAATTTAATTAGTCTGGTCAAGTTCATTAACATCACTCCAGAGTTGACACCTAAATAAAACACTTTCAATTACTCTGGCCAAGTTCATTAACAGCACACCCTAAATACAACACTTATAAATAGTCTGGTCAATCTAGCACTTGAGAAGATGTTTACCAAATTCCCCATAGTATGGGTGGTTGGCGAATCTGTTGTACCATCCTGCTGTACCATCTTCTGCTTCTGGTACAACGCCAACCAGCTGCGACTGGTTCATTTTAGAAAAGTGCACCCACAGATCAGAGAGTGAGTTTAAAAACAGGGTGTCTGTATCCACGTATATCAGGCTGTCAACAGACTTCAACAAATCCTGTAGAACAATGTTTTTAGTCAATATTTAAATTGTGACAAGCAATATTTTGTATGATGCTCCCAAAAATTCTGTCAGGTACCCTTAAAGACTACATAAAACTATTTCATTTGGCAGGATAATTTTAAAAAAAAATAAAAAATAAAATTTATAGTGATTAACATTAAACTGCCGTAGCTTTGTTATACAACCTAGTTTTCTAAATAAAACCAACACTAAATAATGTTACGTAATTAAACCAATCATCATCATCTTTTCCTGTTTGCTTAGTGTGGTCAGCACATGTCCAGTCTACTTTACTTTCCCTAACATGAGTTAGGTATTCATCAGAGTTGGGTGGACTCAGGCAGGTTCTACTGACTTAACCAGGATTTGAACTCCAGACTTTTTGGTTAGCAGTCTGGCGCTCTACTGCTACGCCAAGCCTATTCTACCACAAAACCTTTGTATTTTATATTGCAATATTATTCAACATACTAAAAGTTTAAGATTATCCAATAAAAACTTACAGGCAAAAACAGCCTCTGTGAAGCACATGGCTTGAAAAGTTTTTTCCAGGAATCAGAGGTGGCTCCGCCAGGAAAAGAAATGTTGTATATATTGTAGGATAATCTTTGCCTGTATACCTTAGGCCATGCTTCAAACTGCATTAAACAAGATTATATAAGATTTCACTGATAAATGCTGATAAAATGTTTAAAACTGATGTATAATTTGATAAAGAATTAATATTTATAAAAATTGTTACCCTCTACAGTCAGGGAAAAATGTAACATTATATTTTTAAAATTCCCAAATAATGTTTGTTTAAAATGAAAACCCTTTTTACTGCATAGGAAGGGATTATTTATCCAGTGTAATCCCAGTTTACATTACTTTCCCAATTGAGGTTAGGTAATTAACAAAGCTGACTAAACTAAAAATAGGGATATGCCTTTTCAACCTCCATTTCCTTTCTCTTATAAATTAACAGTAGAGTATAAAAATTATTTTTTTTAAACCAAGCCAATAAAACTGTACCTGGTCTTGAAAGTATTTCTGAGTAGCAGGCTCTGTGATGATATGAAACACCAGTCCCACAGAGAATGGGGTCACCATTACTGCAGATTTAAGCATCACCATGGTTTCCTCTCCTCGACTGCCACACACCACCACACACAGCTGCACAACGTTCCCATAATATTGCTGAGCACTAGAATGTAGATAAATAGTAATTTTATCTTAAACTTCAAGTTAAGTAGTTATAAAATATAAGATGCTGTGAGTGACTCATTAAAAAAAAGGGCATGATATAATCAATTAAGGTAATTTTTTAAAAAAAAACTTCATCACTATGTGCTTTCTCTAAATTTAAATTCTTTATATATGTTGATACATAATAAGGATAGTTGTGATGGTATTAAATGGCTCCACCTTATATTGTGAAGTTTGGCTTATATGAGTAATAAAATACAAATATTTTAAGCAAATAGCAGCTTATATACTGGATAGAGCTTCTGTTCATAACAAATGGTAAAGTCTACAGCACCATAACAACCTTTTTCCTTACCTCTATATAATTTATCTAGAGACTATAAATTCTGTTCATAACAAATGCAACAAAACCGCTAAACCATAACAACCTTTTTCCTTACCTCTATACATCCACAGACTATAAATTCTGTTGATAACAAATGCAACAAAACCGCTAAACCTAAACAAACTGTTTCCTTACCTCTGTATCACTGGCTGAAAATGCTGCTCTTTAAACAGGAACACCTGGTCATCCTTCTCATTAGCTTCCGACTCATTAGCCAGAACTAAATCAGGGTAGAGCTCCGTAGTTTTCTTACGCTGAAGCTGCTGTTGCTCCTGTTTCTCCTCTTCCCCCTCCTGCTTGTGGTCTGGGACTTTGACAAGTGAGTTCTTGGCATACACCCCACTCAGCTGCTTGTCTTCTAGATCATAATGAAATGTCTGGTACACATTTGGCTTGTCAATGTCTTGAACGTTGACCAGGTAGAACAGAATGATACCAACACCAATGACAAGGGTTACACCAATCTTGAATAACATCCTTCGATGCATTTGTGGAGGTTTTAAAAGTTCAGGTCCCTTTCTCAAATGGGTTGTAATCTAGAGAAAAAGTTGCCACAAATAACTTAATTTATTTTCAGCATAGAAGATGAATGATCTAAGAACAATAACAAAAACTATTTTAGATGAAATTTTCATAGGGAAGTTTTTACACATTATTTTAATGGGATGGTATGGTCAAATGACAAAGTGCAAGAAAAACTAAAATTTAAAAAATATCAAATTTGGTCCAGTTTTGATATCTATTCTAAAGGATATCTGACCCAAGTCAGGAAAATTAAAGTTAGCTGTGCAAAATGCTAACCATACAATCCCTTGTCAAGTTGCATATCAACCATCAGATCTTAAATGGTTCTATATTTTTTTTAACATTATGTTGGCACAGGAATACTGGTAAAATATGTTTATTAAATGTATGTATATAAATGCATTATTAATGCTTTTTACAGAAATCCAGATGCATATTTTAACTTGTACCTCCCTAGTTAAAAACTTTAATAGAACCCAAGATGAATAAATAGTTAAAGGGAAATCACCACTTGTAATATTCTTGAGGTGAAGCCTGGATTGCAAAAGCAGAAAGTCCCACAAGTAAAACTGAATCTCTGCTTTTATGTATACAAACATCTACATATATTATAAACTGTCTTAGACTTTACCAACATTGTATGAAACCAAATCATATCTAACATAATTCCTTGTATTTTTTATATAAAGTGTAAAATGCTTTACTAATTGAAACACTTCTGCTTTAGACAGACCTACTCAATCAATTAAAATACTAATAATTTTGACATCACATTTACTACTGATTCACAACCATATGTCTATATTTCAACCATTTCCTATATTAGCTCAACACAGCTTTAGGAAAGCTAAATAAACATATTACCCCATACATCTGTCTAGACATAATATTTTTATGAGTTATACATTTCAAACAGTTACTTACTTCTGCTCTAAATGTGACCTCTTCTCATTGGTTAGTATTGATCAACACTAGCCTGTGAGAAACAATGAGTTAAATAGGATTTGTTTTTTAAAGTACACATAGATAGATAATGTAACATTTATGTAACAGCTTTATTAATTAATTATCAAACAGAAAACAATTAATTTAACTTATCTGAAAGCTGGTAAGGTATAACTTACCTATCGGTTTAACTAGGATTGCTCATTGCTACACTAATCTTAGGCATAACTCTAACACTAGACTTGATCCTAAACCTAATCTTACTTCAGACACCAGCAGATACTAAAATGCCCTACAAGCATTTTAGTACCAACCCAGTTATTTACTTTGTTAAGTAACAATGACAATCAATGCAGCATAATGCATTAAGTAGCTGCTATAAACAAGAGTAAAAAGTGAATATGACATCATTTATCAAATTTGTAAAAATTGGTACAGCTGAGTAAAGGATCTACAGATAGAAATATGTTAATAATCTTTAGATACCTGATGTCATTGGGACATTGGTACAATCTTAATTCTTTGGAACTATTAGACCTAGATCCTATACCTTTGTACTAAACAAAATAAAAAATATTTGGTTCTTTCTAAATTGTTATTTAAATAGGACTAATTTACTATAACAAAACCTTTAGCCTAATTAATAATTAAATGATTCTTTATTTAAAAAAAAAATTAAACTGTATTGAGATAAAATTATCACAAGTAAAAAATAAGCATGTGTAATTTAAATTTTAATGGTAGGCTGATGTTTTGAGGGGTTTTTTTTTTGCAGCCAAGTAATAAAAATTGTGCAAATGAATTATGTCACGCTTAACAGAATTAATAAATCAACAAGGCATATAATCTAGTGTTTAGGCGTTAACTGGTAGGGCTCTGGAGACTCATTATGTATAGGCTATCATGCACTTTAGTGAGACCCCAGATTTCTTTTGGATCTACAATGTCTATATTGATCCATTAGCAGCAGACAAGGTGGGCATTTTAACATTATATATTTAATTTCAAAATTTGCTAGAGTCTAGTAAAATTTAGATCTAATTCATGAATTCTGGATCTAATTTAGTTTAGTTATTAAGTAATCTAGGAACAAAAAATAAAACTAATTACCTGCCCCGTAACATTTGTTGTTCTTAGACGCATTAAGAATATTTTATTAAAAAAATAAATAAAGATTCCTTTATAGACCTAACTATCCATTGGGCAGATGAAGTGGAGTTAATATGTTTCTTGACCTCTGCATATAAAGGGATAATGTGGTCAGCACTATGCCCAGCCACCTTTAGTTTCCCTAACATGAGTTAGGTACCCATCAGAGTTGGGTAAACTCAGGGACGCTCCACTAACTTGAACCCGGATTTGAAACTGATACACTGTTAATCATTCTGTTTTATATTTTTGTATTTATGCAATAAATGTACAAACTCTGTGTTTTTTAATTTGACAGTTTTGCTAAAACTGAAAAAAAATTTTTACTATAGAGTTGTATGTTATTTAAATTCATAGTAAATCTACCATCCTTCCCTTTTTTGTATGAGTAAATTTCTGACATAAAAAAAAAAATTGATGTGGGGTCGTCCAAAATGACGTCACACTCGTAAGGGAGAGGGGGGTCAGCAATTTTGTGACGATGTGTGATGAGGGGGAGGGGGGTGGGGTTTCAGATGGTGTGACGTCCCTTTTTTGCATTATAAAAAAGCAATGTTAGAAAAACAAGTTTTAGCCGTTATTTCGCGTTTTAGAAAACGGTTTTAATAAATTGTAATATGAATTGATCAAAATACTCTATGTTGACAGAGTTCTGACAAGATTTTGGAAAAAATTATCGATGTTTTAAGAAAAATTCAACAGAAATTTTGAGGAGGGGGGGGGGGGGTTGTAGGCTGAGGTGTGACGTCATTTTAGGGGGGGTTCTGACTTTTTGTGATGACGTGTAACGGAGGGGAGGGGGGAGGTAAAAATCGTAAAAAAAGCGTGTCGTCACAAAAAGCAAGACCCCCCCCCCAAAATGACGTAGCACCATCTGAACCCCCCCCCCCTCATCACACACCGTCACAAAATTACCCCCCCCCCCTCCCCCTACGAGTGTGACGTCATTTATGGACGACCTCTAACATTATTTTTTTTAAAATGACAACGTGAGTTGTCACACTTTCTCTAACACTCCAAGCCATCCCTCACCAAATTCCACCCCCACCCCCTCGGCCCACTTTCGACAGCATCATTGTGCCTTTTAATACTTTTATTCAGTTTAGTTGAAATTGGAACACTTAATTGTACAAAGTGTGCATCTCTATTTTTGTAACCAACAAACAAAGCACTTCAGTCAGTCTCTTTGTTGTTTTTTATTCATTTGTTAAAACAAAAATACAATACAAATAAATAAGTCGTGTTTTTTAAACATTCATTTTATTCATTTATGAAAACAGAAATACAATACAAAAAATAAATCGTGTTTTCCTAATGTTTTGGTGTGTTTCGGTTGTTATAATAAAATACGCTCAACTGGAGGTAAACAAGCAACGGAGAATAAAATACGCTGAAATGGAGTTTTACCGACCTGGCTGATACTGACACTCAGACTGATGATATGATTAAATAATAAATAAAATAGATTAGGCCCGAGTTAGACTAGATCTAGTTCTAGATTCTGGATCTAGATCTAGATTGATTCTAGACCTAGCACTCAGTTCAGTAGCAGTCTAGCCAGAGTCTAGGACAGGGACACTATCACTAGGAAAGTTCAAGGAGGTCTGCCTGGTCTCTAGCTAGACTCAAGGTCTAGACTAGATTTTTATTATTTTTAAGATCCTAGACTGACTAAAATTCAGGACTTTCACCAAATTATCTGTGCTGAAACACACACCAGCCAATTTTTGCTAACATACTCCCTGCGGATTCAATCAAGTTCAGGAATACACAATGCCGACAATGCAGTTGAAAGTTGAGTGACTGAGAATCTTAGAACGGAGTTGCTCCGTTGAGTGTGCCACCAAAAAATCATCATTCTGATTCACAGTTTTCAAGTAAAATTATGCAATGGAGATTCTAGATCTAGCTCATATTCTAGTGAATCTAGAAAGAGAATATAAATTCAAAGCAGCACAATACAAATAGATCTAGATCTAATAATCTAATTGCCTTACTTGCCCAAAGTTTTTATTTTATCATCTTTGTGTGTACGTCTGCGCGAGTTACCCGACTTTTTTTTTTATCAATCAGGGAAGACAACTTTCGACAACCTGTTTGACTCCAGTTGATCCCACAAGTGTGCGCTCTACGTTTCTGTTAATTTGATTCCGTCTGTACGTTTTATTGCTACTGGGTCAAGGTTCTTTTTCGTGTGAGCAGCTAGGTCGCTGTCTGGTGCTGGAATGTCGTACAGACGGCGTAGTTGTAAAAAAAAAAAAATCAAGTCTACAAAATGTTAGCTTAAGTAAAAAAAGTAAACTCATACGATGTTGTTGTTTGTTTTTTTAACTGTAACCCAGCGAATTGGAAGGAGGGGTGGGGTGGTTGTGGATGGCAATAACAAAAACACGAGGAAAACTGCAGTTTTAAAAATTCGTATGTCTTGTATGTCACTTAGCCTTTGTAAATTGTGTATATATATATATATATACATACATATATGTATATATACATATATATATATATAGTGTATATTGAATATTGTATTGCCGACTAAGTGTTGTGTTCTTAGTAATAACAAATGCAGTGCGACATGCCATGACAAAAAGGATAAGTAGGTTAAATTAAATAAATTGTCTTTAAGATCCCCAACGTCACACTCCGGTGGGGGGGGGGGGGGGGGGGGGGGGATTCAGAATTTCGTGACGAAAGTGAGGGGGAAGGGACGAAGGATCAGAAAAAGTGACGACACGCTCTGATTTTAATAAGCAAGTTAGAAACTGAATTTTAGAACCTGCTAACTTCTTTCGGGGAGAAAGCGGAGGAAAGAAAGAGCGAACTAAACCAAGCAAAAAAGGGACAGCAGAAGCAAGCAGCAGCCACTCGATATGATGAGCAGAGTTTCTTGCCCCCCGAAGAAAGTCTACCGCCCCCCCCCCCCCCCCGAACGAGATGGAATTTATATAGTAAACATATACTTCTACTAGTGTCCGCCCCCCCCCCCCCCCCGAAAATATCAAGTCCCCCCCCCCCCGGAAAAGTAAACTAAGAAATGACAAGAGATTGTTTATAAATGAAGTGGCCGAATAGGGAGATCTCAATATGCTATACGCAACAACCAGAAATTTGAGTTGGAGGAATAGCAACCCCAACAAGCCGGTGAGCGACCAAAAAAAAAAGAAAACTTGTAATGTCAATAGAAGAACAATCGGCACGATGGAGAGAGCACTACTTAAGGAGGCGTAACGAGGGGGGGGAGGGGTCGGGGGGGGACATATGTCCCCGGGCGCCGACCTTAGGGGGGCGCCAAATTGAAAGTTTGAGGGGGGTGCAAATGAAAAGTTCGAAGGGGGGGGGGGGCGCAAATCGAAAGTTTGTCCCCGGGCGCCGGGAGGGGTCGCTACGCCTCTGGAAATACTAAACAGCCCAGCACCACAAGACCCACCAGACTTGAGCCAGGGGATTCCCGTTACATCAATACCGGGGAAATCAGCATGCAGGAAATTCTCAAGGCCTTACATGGTTTGAAGAGTGCAAGGCATCAGGACCAGACAACATCCCAGCAGAGACATTAATGTAAAGTGGAGAAGAAGTAGCAAGTAGCAAATCGACTTCATACAATGCTCAACTTAGTCTGAAGCACGGGACAAATTACAACCAACTAGAGGAGGGGCCTCTTTGTGAAGTTGTCAAAGAGCAATGATTTATCTTTTTAAGTGGAGAACCATTATCTTGTTGTCGATTTCACGTTAAGTCCCTGAGTCATAATAGATAGAATGAAGAGGGAAATCGACCTTGAGCTTAGGAATGAAAGATCTTGTGTAGATCAGATAGACACTCTTAGGGGTCATCCATAAATGGCAAATACTATGGAATCTATTGAAATGCTATGGTTTTCCCGAAAAGTTAGTGGAAATAATCCAGCAATTTTACAATTTGCTTTTCTTGCCAAGTTAGCCATGCGGGGAAATTGTCAGAAGAGTTCCATGTCACCATTAAACTGTTTACAGAGGAACCAGAGGCCCTAGAGTTAGCGGATGATCTTGCCCTACTCTCCCATTTTCTCAGACAGTGTGACGTCACACTGTTGCATTTTTAAAAAGTAACGATAGAAGATGAATTTTAGCATTTGTTTTCACGTTGTATATTGAGCGAAATTAACAACTATTTTAGAAAGAAATCGATGTTTAAATGAATAAAAATTTTGGTGTGGCGTGATTTGGGGGGGGGGGGGGGGTCTGGCTTCTTGTGACGGTGTGTAATGGTGGAGAGGTAAAAATTGTCAGACAAAATAGCGTGACGTAATTTATGGATGATCCTTTAAAATAACGGATTATAATAATAACTATGAACGACGGATTTGTTATATTATTTAATGCAATGAGTATCAGTTGGCCATATCTTAACACAATGATTACTCGAGAATATTAGGGCTTTAAATATATTTTATAGCTTTATAAATATTTCACTACAATAAAGTTCTCCCAAAATTTATGAACATTCCATATGCTCTTAAAGTCGCACTCTTGTATAAGCATAGTCTAAATAAAAGAAAGGTTTTTAGGAAGGGTCTACCAATGAAAGATGCTTTATTTGTTGAGGTATCATTGGTGAAGATGGTTATGTTATGACGAATATATGAATGTACTGGACAGCCAAAAACAGCATTAGTTATGTTCAATTGGTAGAGATGAAGGTTAGGTTTTGATGAATATGAATGTAGTCAACAATGAGAGCAAAAAACATCCTTGCACTTTTAAGTCTTCTTCTTTCTTGATTCGAGTGCTGAAAGTGATTCTCTCCAACAAGATTAAGGATTACGCATCAACTTGTCATATAAGCCATGAACTCAAATGTCAGCCAGCTTTTCTTTTTGGATTTGCTTCCATAGCTTTTGTCCAACCAAGAACAAATACAAGGCAGCAGTTGTTTAATTTTGGAGATGTCTCTCCTAGATAAGAGGCTGTCCCCAGCTATTGAGCCTCATCTGCCCGGGGGTTTGAACTCGGGACTTTTCGGTTCAGAAACCGACCCTACCACATCAACTTGATTAAGTCTTCTGATAATTAGCCTTTATGTATTACTTTTTTCTTTAAAAAAAAAAAAATTAAGTTCTTTTACTGAACAAATTCACCAACTCTGCTACAAGCACACAGATAATAAAAATTTTAAAAAACTTTTTTTTCAAACAAATTCTGTTTTGTATTTTGTTATCAGTGACAGGGCTGAAAGGTAAGGCTGGCCATTAATGGATGACAATGAGTGACTGAAAACAAAAAAATCAATGTAGATGAATAGCAAACAACAACAGCTATAATTTACAACAAAATGAGTGGTAAGTACAATTTGAAGTCTGATGATCAATGATGATAACACAAGGGCGAACAAACAAAAAATATAATATATATTTGAAGCAAACCAACAACAATTTTTGTGAGCAGATATTGTCAGCCAAGAGTCATATTGTCAGTCTAATAATACAGTTTTAATAATCTTCAGCAAAAAAAAAAAAAAAAAAAAGGACAGTATTTGTGCAAATCATTACTGTCGCCCCAGCACGCGTCCCTATCACCCTAGTCTAACACAATCAACATAGTGCACGGATCTAGTAACAGAATAGTTTTGGGTCAACTAAATAGTTTTGTATTAACACACCATATTCAACATGAATGCTTAGCTCTTTATGTCAATTTTTTTTTTTTTAAATTTTTAAACATGTTCTTAAACCAACAATGGACACAACATAAAAAGTGTATACACATAGGGCATACACAAAACACAGAGGAAATTGAGAAAAAGGCTAAGCACATAGTTCTTTTATTATATCAGATGTTTCATCACACAAATTATTTAAAGAATGAATTTTCTAGAATAAAATGGCAGTAAAGTTGAATTAGTATTAGATTATAATAATAATGGAATTAATATTGGATTAATTTATAATCATAATGGAAGATAGCTGTGTTTTGTAGTTAGTTTTAGCAGGGTTTGGCACTCTTTTAGTAGTCAATTATTTCACTTTTGAAACAACTGTTTTATTTGGCATTTAATGACGCTATTGTATTACAAAAAATAAGAACGTTATCTTTTAACTTTAGAGTTTCATTAAAAATCTTGGTTGTATAATTTTTCAAGCTGTGCACAAATAGGCATTAGATCCGCCTCTATCCTATAGAACTAATTTCCCCCTATTTTAAAGTTATCAGCTCTCCTCCCAATTAAAATGGTATACATATATCTTAAAAGCAGTACAAGATTTTATAAACAAATCCAATGTAAAAAATGATGTTTTGTAAAACTAATCATCTTCAGTATATCATTCTGAGAGTAAGTTATTTCTCAACAACAAATCTTTTTTGTTTAGATGAATGAGTTATTTTTATTAAACAGGCAGCATCACTTAAATTATTATGGCCAATGCGATACACTACAATTAACAAGTTAAAACATCACAAAGAGATACAACTTTCTATTTACAATTGTATATACAGTTTGACAAATGATTATTTTGTGCTTTTTGTTTTCAACAAACAGGCACCAGCCAAATTGTGACCCATATACTGTTAAGATGTTTTATTTTGGTATTCTGTGGTATAATAAAAGGGCTGTTCATTCAGTAGCAGTGACAATAACTTCCACATAGTGTTATTGACTTTATCAATGGTATACACACTTTTCTGGAAATACTCAGCAACTAACTGTATCTAAGGGCCCTCTGTCAGGACATTGTATCTAGTTTCCCAGCACTAGCTACCTAGTTTAAAATTTAAATAAGTATGTTATTTTAAACATTTTATTGATGAGGAAGAAGTGGGGGGAAAATTATTCAATAAATAGCTTCAGTTCAACAATAAAAGCTACAATAACAGTAGCCTACCAGCCAACCAAGATGTGGTTTATATATTGAGTGGTATTAGTAAGTAATTAGTTTTGATATTAACAGAAACAAGTGATCTTGATAAACAGTTTTAAGGCTGTATAATCATGTAAATATTACTTCACTGTTTAAAATTGTTTGTTCAAGTAATAAAGAGAAATGGATCAACAGCCTGCTATATTAAAACTTCTGTCAAAACTTAAATCATAAACATATTTTTTTTCTTTTACAAATCTTAAAAACTAAAATTGTATATTTTTATATACCCATAAATTTAAAAAAAAAATCTTTTGTCTTTTTATTATGTCTATATACTTTTTAAGCAATTGTTTGGTGAAAGCTATAATCTCAATGAAAGTATATGCTAGCTTTGATCCATATCTTTCTTAACTTACTTTGAACAAAAAAATATGTATAATAAACTGAACTATGTGTTAAAAAAAAGTGCAAACATCAAAGACAAGTTTTTTAAAAGGAAACTGAAACTGAGCAAATGGAAACCTCCCTTGACAATGCTGCATCAACACAAAAAAACTGTGTGTGGTCCTGTGACAAGAATTTGTTTTATCACTGTTAACTCCGTTGTTTTTCTTTTCATAAAAAGATTGCACCTCATCAACATTAGTGGTATACAATAAAGGAACATTAGCTTAGCTTCATTTTATCATTACACCATTTAAAAACTTGAACAGATTAAAGCAATGCATTAAGAACAGCTGAAAATAGATTCTCTATAACAATATTTCAAATAGAAAATGCAACAATGACTACCCTAAGTGAAGCTCAAACAGTCTTTAATTTTCTTGTCAAGCAAAGTAAAGTTTTTAAAAATTTTAAATGCTAACAAAAAGTGAAAAGTATCGTAATTAGTCTTATGTACAAAGAAACTGTTAACATTAAAGATAAACCATATTCAGTTTTAGAAACAGATTACATCATTCAATAACATAAAGGTATACAATAAGAAATAACATTACTAATGACTCAATAAACTAATAAATGATATCATTGTAAAATCTGAAGTAAGCTGTGTACAATAACGCTGATTATAATTAACTTCATTAAAACAGGGCTGAACACAGGTGAATGAGTACAAGCAGTTTGATTAGAAGGTAGTAATATTTTTTGACTGATGCAAACATGTACAACTTTTAAAATCAAATAGATATTTACTAGATTTTGTTTCCCCTTTGTATGACAAGCTAGCTTGAAATGTTTTTAGGTTGTGATATGTAATAAAATGTTATTGAACAAAAATATAGTAAACTCAGGTTTTTTATTTATTACTACCAGTGAATATGGAATATGAAATGTTGAAACAAGTAACAAAATATTGTTGTACAACTTATGTATTAAGTACACCTTAGTGCAGATTTTGGTTTTTATAATTGTGTATAATGTAACACTAACAAAAACATTGATTGAAGTTTTAGTGAAAGATGCTTAAAAAATATTTTGAAACATAAGGTTTGTCCAATGGTTACTCAACAAATTAATCCTACATTTACAAAAATAGTTTTGAAGGTTGCTCAGTTGTTAAATGTGGGTGAGTCTAAATGCCTGTATTTGAAATGACATTATTAATAAATTGTACAAAACACCTTTAAAATTTAAGCAGATTACAAACATCGCAGGTTTCAATTTGTCTGAAACTGTAAGAAAAATTGGGACGGACATAATAGTTTATCATTTGAAAAAAAAAAAAAATTTACCAAAAAAAAAAAAGTCGAACATTAATTTATTCACCAGAAATCAGTAATAATTGAACAAAACAGTCCACCAAATAAAAAGCTGCATTGATTATTCAGTGAACAAGATTCTGTTTTCACACTAGCTCACTCCCTTAACTCAAACAGGAAATGAACACTGACGATATGGCAACAGTTCTGTAACAATACCTGCATCCACACCAGGTCTATTGTCCTCAGTAATAAATATCTAATTATGATTAGCATTATGCAGTACAAAACTACCAGAGTAAAAAAATTAAGTGTAAGTAGACGTTAACCTGCTGCCTACTATAATGGCAAGAGCATCAACAACTATAAGGGCAGCACCTACTGTCCAGGTAGAATCTACTGTAATGTTAGCAACCACCAACAGTTATGGAAGAGGCTAAAGCTCATGTCTTCTATATAATAGGATTAAGTACCAAAACCAGAGACCGCCTTATATAACAAGACTTGCCAATATAATTCCCTTGTTCCCTACTCTCTTACACAATGTTCCACATTGATAGTCTCCCAGAACAAACTGAAAAGAGGTTAACTGACAGCCAAGCGTACAACCTGCACTAACAATGAACCAGCTCTAGTAAAACATCAAAGAACAAAAATTGCACTATGTGACAGCGTATCACAACTTTAGATGAAGAACACAAGCACTCAAAAGAATATATTTTATATTGGTCCAAAAACTGTACATGATACATAGAAATAAACAAACCTAAAGTATTTATATAAAATAAAATGATAATTAAGAGATCAAAAAACTGATATTAGAACTGTAGATCTTAGTAAGAGAATAACTTTTCATGACATAAACACTTTCAAAGAACAAACAGCACTAACTTATGCATAAAACATGTGGCACTGGTTTCTCAATTGTTTCATTATTGCCAAAATGGAGAATTCTGTGATGATGAGATTGGGCTAGTGTAATGACATTGTGCATTAAACAGTATCAGCCATTAAGCTTACACCATTATTTTTTTTAAAAAGGTGGTTAAATGAGATCTTATGAATTAAATTTGAGCTCTTTGTGAAAAAAAAATCAAAATTAAAAAAAAAAACCATGTGCAGATATTTAAAAATCTAATAGTTGTTATATATACAGTAATGAAACATCTTGCTATAGAATTTATGCCTCTTGAATACTCAAAAATGAAAGAGACCTAAAAACAGACCTGAATTAAAGGAAAAAATAAATCTATCAGCAAAGTATTACATTTCAGTTATACTTCATCCTCTGAGGTAAAAAATGTTGGACAATATTTAGAACAATTGGTCCATTAACATAAAGAGTGGACATTTTTATCAAAACAGAATTGGTTTTGTGACCTACCAAAGTACTATCATCTGACATTAGGGTACCTAAAACATATTTTAATACTGCATTGAATTAAGTATAGTTATACCATACATGCCAGAAAAATATGGTTTAATGATGAAACTTGGTGATTTAATGTTCATTTTTACCTTACGCGCAAAGAAAAATGAATGTAATATCATTTTTAAGGGTTAATATTATTTTAAGATGTTAAATAGCCAACAATCATTAAGTTAAGGTTTATTCACGGTCTTCACACTGTCTAGGTTACTGATGAGATATCACAAAAGACAATCACAAAAAATAGAGTAACAAAATTATTTTCTCTGAAGCAGAAAGGGGGAGGAAAAGTCACAACATTAAATTCATCACAACTATGTAGGCTCTGGAAGTAAGAATCATCGCTCTAGACCAGTTTAATAAAAAAAATAGACTGTTTTAATGTTATATTCAAATGAACCACAGACTTAAGAAACAATGTGAGTTTTCTAAATTATAAATCTAAAAAGAACTGACACTAAAAATTACTAAAGAAAAGTGCTGTAATTTTGAATACTATGGATAACAGAATATTAAATAATAATAATATTAAGCTATACTCTACTGTATTTAAATCTAAATGAGTATTTTCTATTGCAATTTTTAAAAATTTAATAGCTAAAAAATGAACCCAGCATTTAAAAAACCTGTATACACTTGAGTTAGCTGTTTCCTATAGTTAACCTCTTTGTAATTTAATGTGGAGAAGTACAAACTTGTATCAGCAAAGAAATGAAGCTCAGCTAAATTTTAAGCATCTCTGAAGACAGCAGCAGCCCTCGATAAGTTCCACAGTAGAGAAAAATAATCACTTGTTACTAACACAACTCCAGGTGTCATACTTCATCCCCTCCATGAAAGAAAAAAGGACACTGTTCAATCAATGTGTGAACTATGTCCTCAGGAATCTGTGAGCCTTGAATGAGTTTTTCATAGGTTTTAAACTGCAGTCTGATAAGTGTGGGCCACCAGCACTTGGCCAGATTTCTACTGTTCATGCTGTTAAACTCTTGATTCTGTGCCACTCTGGTAAGAAAGGAAAATTTAAGTGAGATTTAATATTTGTACAAATAATTGATAGTACAAGTAATTGCAAAACGTTAGCAATGCTGTGTTGTAGCACCTAAGGTTCGTTATGCTACAATAGCTTTAAAAAACAGCCATTTATTGAACAAAAACTCAAGAGACTTACTTATACAAATGTGAAATGATGTACTTCAATACTTCAAAATTTTGATTGGGTAACTTTTTGATGACACCACGCAGCATAAGAAGTCTACTGCTCTTGTCAGTCATTTCTACATAAAAATTAAACAATTAGTTTTGACTGATAATATTAAAAAAAATCATATCCAAGGCTATGTAAAATTTAACAACCTAATTTAACTAGTCATCTAAAAATCTGCCCTAGGTTAGAGTTTGACAAATTTTAGACTTTTTGTTTTAACCAAATGTAACATTAGAAGAAGAGATTTCCTCTAACACATGAAAGTATTACGCCTCAATACGTTATACACCATATGGCCTGCTTTTCTTTCTGGATATGCAACCATAATCATTGTTCACTCAAGAACAATCTGCAGTTGTAGTTTGGGAGTTTCTCTCACTGGGTGAGTTAGCTATCATATGCTCTCCTGTCAACCACGCCACCCCTTAATTGTAGAAAATATGCTTGGAAAGTGTGGTCTAGAGAAATCAAATGTTTGCTTACATAGTCACATGTTTGGGACCCAGGCTCATGCTTCTAGGTATAAAACTGACTGCTCCCCCTTAATATAACCAGGTGAAGTGAAAAAGCATGTTGGAAAACTAACGTAATTGACAAAACTGGCAGCAGTACAAATTAGGTGCAAAAAAATTTCATTTTCTACATCCTGCCTTGATACGTGTGGTATAAAAGTATTGCTTGTGTTGATTATACTCATACAGTACAGAAGAAGAGAGTTTTCTAAATTAGATGCAAAATAAAAAACACAGATTAAGACTTGATGGGCTACATACCGGCTGCCTCCATGAGCTCATCACACAGTTTCTCAGGTATCAAGGCCTCATTGAGATCACTGAAAAAGCTTTTTAACAAGGTCGCTATGGCGTTAACTGGGATTTCTAACGAAGATATGTCCACATTTGGATCTGAAAGGTTAAAAGTTGACATGAAATTTTGTTCATTTTATGCTTTTATAAATCAATCCATATATGCAGCAGTAGATGGGACAGATCCTAAACAATTCCTCTACAGACTTTGCGTAAATGACAGTCTACCGCAATATTTGGTCTTTTAACATTTGGTATACAGACAGTAAGGTTTCACTGGTTTGATTACCTCTTATTTTAATGCTAAATACAATTACACCACCTGTTTGCGGATATGAGGACATTAGGAAATGTTCAGTTTATTTGAAATAAAATTAAGAGCAATAACTTATGAGTAGTCCATATGTCTCAAATAATGAAAATACACAAGGCAACTACTTGAAAAAATGTAAAATAATAACTATTATTGAATCAGTAGCATAATAGAGCTATACTATTCTAACCTTTTAAATGTGTAAAATAAATCATTAAGATAAAACTATAATTGTGCAACTTACCAACAGCAAATTTATTGACAAAAAGTTCTCCTTGTGCCTTATTGCCAGGTATTCTGTACAAGCCTTCTGTTTTTAAGCCTGTGAAGCATTCGTTGACACACAGTGAGTTACACATGGCTTTATTGTAAATTTACTTAACTTTAGCTATAAATCATTGACTATGGCTATTGCTAGGTTTCACTGGGGTTAGCGAATAACTGGGTAAGACTAGTAGATAATATCTTGTCAATAATCAGCAAAAACAATTTTTAGAAATTTTAGAGACAAATAATGGATTGCATTATCAATTTAAAAAAATAATTTAAACATTACCTTCTGCTTCAATATATGAGACACACTTGAAGACAAACTGTGGTATAGAGGGATATTCTGAAGATGTGGGGAAATCCTCTAAGGAAACACCACTGGTTGATGTGCCAGATGCTTTGTCTTTTTTCTTAAACTTCTTCTGTGCCTCTTTGGCTTTCTTTTCCTGAAAGCAATAAACAATAAAGTTTGGACTAAAATAACCATTATATTATATTTGTCCTAGTCATAATCCAATTACTTAAATTGCAGAAATAAGAATCTAGATGGATGATATATTTATTTGAAGTATGATACAAGCCCCACAATCATATACAATTACCATAAAAATGCACATAATTATAAGAAGCAACTGTATGTTGTCCTAAAATAATGAGGCATAATAATATTAAAATGCGACCTTTTAGCCTGTAACAAATATATCAATAGAGAAATATCAAATAAGTCTGTAAGTGTACTCAAATTTGGCTATCTTTGGATTGTATTTGTAAGTACGAAGTGTCTACTCGGAATAAGATTTTTCGGCAAAAGATAGTTCTGCGCATGCACAGTGACCTATGGCTAGGGTTAGGGCTAGAATGAGGGTTAGGGGTAGAATTAGGGATAGGGTTAGGGATAGGATTAGGGATAGGGTTAGGGATAGGATTAGGGATAGGGTTAGGGATAGGGTTAAGGATAGGATTAGGGTTGGTATTAGGGTTCTGCGGTTGTAAACACACGCATGCGCAGTACCATCGAAAACATCGCCGCTAAGTCCTAGTTTCTCTCCATTGCGAATGCGTATCGCATGCGTATCTTATTCCGACTAGAATCGGCCTTGTAAGTATTGCCTACTGACCAATGCTGGTATGACAATCCTAGTGCGAAGGAAACATAATAGTACACATGTAAGCACATATACTCAATTACTTACATATGACTTAGTCAATATAATAAATCCTTGCCTAGAGTTTACATCATAAGGTTTAAAAGTAACAGAAGACAAATCATCATGTTTTAACAAAATTTGTTTGTTATTTGAAGGAGATTCTTCTGAGTCATCAGCTGGTGATTCTCCAGAGTCTTCTAAATTGTTCTCAGTTTCATTTAGATTGTTCTCAGTTTCATTTAGATTGTTCTCAGTTTCATTTAGATTGTTCTCACTTTCATTTAGATTGCTGGTAGCAGAGTTGTCAGTACAGGGATTACCATGACAAACTAGTGAGGGAGGTGAGGAAGTGACTAGAATTTGTACTGGAGTCTCAGGGTCAGTGTGCGGACTTAGTGAATGATCACTGTCAGGTTCAAGGTGTTTAAACTCAGGTGAGTCTTTAGTTAATGTCTGATGAGATTCATCCTGGACCTTGGTGTCTCTTGATGTCACTATGGGTTCATCAGATAAAACACCACTAGCAGATTCCTTTCTATTAGTAATTTTCTCTCTGCCAGTAATGGATGCAACACCAATAAAGTTATCTGATGCCAGTGTAGGATAATCACATATGACATCAATCACAGGATCCTGACCATTTTTACACTCAGAAGATATATCAGACTCCTGGTTTATATACACAGCACCCCCTGTTTGTAATCCATGCTTGTCCCCAGACTCAGCCCTACCACCAATTGTTTCCCCTGTATTTAATGTGCTATCCTCAGCTAGCAACACAGTAACTGAGATGGGTTCACTAATCTGACTCTTGGATAACCTTCTATTTCTTCTACCATTTTGCTTATCAGACTCACTGGTTGCTTCTGGTCTAGAGTCATGAGCCACAGTAGAAAAGCTACCAGTCCCCATCACGCACTAGTCCTCTATATACAACTTTCCCATAATAGTTGAATCTCAACTCTATCAGATTTCACATATCAGTGGACAACCACCCTGTCCAGCTAAATTTTAAAATTACAGTGGCTATAAAAATCTACTTAGAATAAGAATCAGAGAAAAACAACACAGTACACAGTACAATGAACCCAGATTTGAATATTCTCAATCACTAAACTGGTTTTGGTTCAATTGATTTGGCACTAAAAATAGAAAATTTCCAGGCTATAAATACCATCCTCACTATGACACACAATATGAATCAGCTATAGTTGGATAAACACTGGTCATGAATACTAGTAGGTCTTCAAAGAAAAACACCCAATAGAAGTCTTTGAAAACTAGCATGGAATTTCACAGCCCAATTCTTGACTAGTCAGAACATAAGTATACTGTTCTTTCCTGCACAAGTACTAACTAAAAATAGATCTATTGATTAATCACATAATACACTGCAATCCACTCTAAAAAGTTACAGTTAGATCTGAATAAGAAGTAAATCTCAGTAAGAAAACAATGGCATTTATTCAAGAACAACTTTAATAGTTCCACAGTGTGAAAGAATTAGCAGTGACCTTTTAGCATGTTGTCAAGTGTAACCAAGGTAAACAAATCTTAAAATAGAAACCCAACCTAGCACCTCTTATCATAGTTGTAGTGATCTTTCTTTGTTTAGTCAATGAACACCTACACCCCTTTCCTCTCCCCAAGTAAACTGCTATTGGATAAGGGAAAAGGAGAGCCAGGTGGGTGGAGGGTGAAAGTGGGGGTGGTGGAGGGTGAAAGTAGGGTGGTGGAGGGTGAAAGTGGGGGTGGTGGAGGGTGGAGAAAGGGGGTGAGACTAACAGTTGAAAAGGTGCATTCAGGTATAAATATGTAAGATCTCTGCTGGTTATTTAATGACTGGCCTATGAACAACAGGGACGCTAACAGTTTAATAGTGTCATGAGTCTAATGATTTCCTCATTACACATCTCTGATTTTAATGTCTAGTACTGTAACTAAAATAACAAAATACAAAATGTATAACTGTTTTTTTTTCCTTTCTTTCAAAGACTAAATTATTTTTTTTTTTTTTTTTTTTTAACAATGCAATTCTATCATATGGCTAACTTAGGAAGCATTGGTTATTTGATCAGTATAGCTATTTGCAAGTTACTTTGCCAGAACAAGCCATTTCCAACTCCAGTTTTTATATATATGACAGTTTTGTTTTCCATAACATTTTTAAATTCAGCACTTGAAACAGAATTTTTTACAATGATGCCTTGGTGGATTTACAGAAATGTCTAGTACAGAAATAAGTTACAACAGCAACCAGATAAACATTTACATTCAAGAGTAAAAGAACAAGCTATGGTACATGACAGTCTAATAGGTATCTATTAGTCATGTCTAAACAATCAATAATCAGGCCTAGATGAACAGTGCTTAACTATGGGTTATATTTTCTTTTAATTGTTGTAACATTGCACTAATGTAAGTCCCCTAACTATGTAGGTAAGGTTTAAATAGTTAAGAATTCTTGTCCAGTATTTAAGTTTGTCTAAGTGGTTAAGTCCCAAGTTAGGGACCTCATTCCCCCTGGCTTGGGAGAGGGGGGGGGGGGGGGGTTTGGATGCTTCTCTTGCAACAGTTTGGATGTGTACAGTGGCAGGGCTGTCTCTTTGTATACGTTAAAATTTCCAAACTGAACTTGCGTAATTTTAACTTTCAAGTCAGCTAAGATCGATCAATCCAACCATCCTCACCATCTCTCGCTGCAGTAAAAACCTTCATCCTTTTAAATTGACTTATAATAGGGAGTATCATCAAATACTCATCATTGAGCAATAGATAAGTTAAGTATTTAGATTTATTGCCCTCCTATACACATAGCATTAGTGGGTAATCAATAATTGGATAATTACGTTATTGCATTATTTATGTCTAGTTGTTTTCAACTTTGATTCTGAAGTAATGTAATCTAAACGATTCAGAATAAAGTTTATAAAGCTTCTATTTTCTACTTCTATAAATATTGACCAGTAGTTAAATATTGACAACATGAATGAAACAGCCATTAAAATACTTTTTTCTGACATTTAAAGCCAGTCATTTGTGAGCTGAATACCATAAATCAGATATAGTGTAGCCTTTTTCTTAAGTGATTGGCAAACATTTTGAGTGGAAACACATAATTTGATATAGCCAATATTTAAAACTATTAGAGATTGTGCGGATGCATTTAATAAAAACTCCCATTGCTTCAAATATGATAATAGTCAGCCCTTTTTCCTTCAACAGTATAATTATTAATCGAGATAAAATATAAAGCATATATAAACCATCTTTACCTAGAAATACACATCACCAAATATCCTACTGAGCCATCCATATACAACCAAGGATGCAGAAAATGCTTTTTTAAATATATAATTCAGCATGGATCATACTGTGACAACTGAGGTGAAGGACAAGACTACCTATACAGCATTAATATTTAACCACATCAGCCAACTTCTGTTATGGACACCACATCACAGAGCTTTCTTTATTCTAACCCAGTAGCGTAGCGAAGGGGGGGGGGGGGGGGGGGGGAAACAACATATGTCCCCGGGCGCCGGCCTTAGGGGGCGCCAAAATGGGTTGGAAAAATAAATTGAAAGGTTGAGGGGGGCGCAAATCAAAAGTTTGAGGGGAGGGGGGGGGGGGTGAAAATCAAAATTGGGGGGGGGGGGGGGGGAAAGAGGGGGTGCAAATCGAAAAGTTTGTCCCTGGGCGCCTCTGTTCTAACCTTACATTACCCTCATTTCTTTTCTCAATTTATGCTGTTTACAAGGTAAAATAATGCTGACAAAACTGAGAAACTTAGTAATCAGTAGTTAAAAGGTGAGCTTAGTAAAAAGTTTTATAAACTGTTACTTAAATGTTAAGACATTCACAAAGTTATTATAAAGACAAAACCATACAGATGGCCAGGATCTAATGCTACATTGCACATATCCTTGCCACAATAAGACAAAAATGTACTGACCTCTTCCTTCTGCCGTCTCCGTTCTTCTTTCTTCTTCTGTTTCTCTGGGTCTCTGAGTGTGAACCTGAACCTCCAGTTGCCGCTGTCATTTAAGTCATCATCACCTTCATCCCCACCCAGGCTTCCTGTGTTGGTCCCAATATGCTGAATAAACAATGGGAAATAATTACATCAGCATTATTTCTCAGTAATCATGACATGAATTAAGCCTCTAAAATAGAGTAGTATTGGGCAGGTGGATCTTTTAAGCGCACACTGGTGTAAGAATGGTGGGGTAAATCCTGTGACTGCTAAACCAAGCTAAGAGTTCTAATTCACCCAGCTCTGAGAGGTATGTGACTTTAATCAGGTACAGATAACATTTGGACATGACCACAAGACCCTTGTTTACATTGTAGTAAGAGAAACAGATCAAGTCTGAGAATAGGACAATTTACTTACAGATGGTTGTATTTTAAGAAAGGACTTAAGTTGGACAATTTATTTACATGGCATACAGCCATCATGAGTAAAACAATATACCATATTTTGGGTTCTATAATATTTCAAAACTATACCAATTAATAAATTGTATTTTTTAAATTGAGATTTTTCACTCTTTTACCATTATGAGCATAATACAAGTAACTTCAGTACAGTGTAGATGGGGGTCATTAATACTTACTTTTGGTAGTGTTTGGAAATGGTGGACAGAATAATTTGTTGACATTTCATCCAAGGAAAGAACTGGGGAAAAAATAAAAGTTTTAGCTTAAACAACTGAAAAAATACTAAGATGTCAGCGATAATTGAAGGAAAACAAATTATAATCAATTCATTTTTAAGTTTACATAAAACTTTTCTTATTTCAAAGTTATGTATCAATAGCACATTTTATAAAAAAATTTATGAAAACAAATTTTTATCCAAAAGGTGAGAACAAGTGAAGCAGCAACAACTATTGGTGTATTTTTAAAGCGGCTAAGTATATAACAGAAAAAAGTAACTAGTTGTCTGTATTGTGGATAATAGAAGCTTGCTGTAAAAGTATTGTGAGGATTTTGGAAAGACAATGGAGATTCCTACAGTCAATTACTGCCTTTCATTTTGAGCTATAAGCTTGATGTGTTTTGAATTTAGCAAGGAGATTCATACAGTAAATAACAGCCTTATATTTTGTGCTAGAAACTAGGTGTGAGAAACAAACACACACACAACAACAAGCAGCGTAGTGAAGACCAGGGTCTGCGTAGACAATGAAAGAGCTGAGAATAATGGAGTACCAGGGGGTGAGCCAATGAGATGATCACTGTCAGATATGGGGGGACTAGAACCTTGATGTGTAAGGGATGATGATGGATTACGCCATTTGCGGTGATTGAACGACCGGCGTTTCTTTTCTTTCTTCTTGGATGCAAGTTTCTCATCCCCAGTTCCTTCACTGCCATCTTCTGAGGGGGAGTGGCTTTGCACTGTAGAGAAAACAACCCTATATTATTTTCTGAATAATAAATGAGGAGAGTTCACTTGCAAAACCATAAGCAGAAATTTAAAAAAAAACTGAGTATTCTTCAAAAGGTGCTTAATAAATTGTCAATCTGTATTTTAATTCTTCTTTTCCCCAAAAATATATACTTAAAAATATATAATTAAAAATTCTAAGATTAGCTAACAAAAAGACAACTTTTTCAAAGACAATTTCCAGAAAAATCAATCAAAAGTACATTGCAAAATGATTCTTCAAATATTATGTTAACTTGCCAATATTGTTTTCAGTAAAGCTTTACAAGGCTAAGAATAAAAAATTTCCTGCTCTTACCTGTCTGACTCTGCTTTCTCCCAATGCCACCAAAAGTGCTTGGCTTTGCTCCGGAGGGTATAGGGCTGGCATATATGGCACTGTCATCCACTGGATGCCGTGGTTTGGATTTGCGCCTGTGAGGTGTTGGACGCCTACCTTTATTATATTTTTCTCTTTCAAGAGATGAAAACTCTGAGTCATCAGAATCTGTGCGACCTATTGAGAAAAAAAAAAACAAGACTGATGAACACATTTTTAAGTTCCATTTAAGATGGTAGATACTATAAGAAGTAACATAGCATTTAAAATACTTAACAAAAGATATTTCCCAGGAAATAGTTCTTACTCAGCATCCATGATACTTTAATGAAGATTTTGTATTTTTCCTATCTATTTTATGTCGCTGCTTTTTCAATTGCAGACATTTTTTATGCACCTGATTACAATTTATTTTGTATATCTAATTTTGAATTATTTTTTTAAAATCACTCATTAACCTTTTCTTTAAATTTTCATAATATTAAATGTTACTATTTGCAAAAATAAATGCTCTATAAGAGTGGTAAATCTTGTAATAGCAACCTTTAGTCCGGATGGGTGACTTTGTTGACCTAATCCTGTGTAACTGACCAGGAGGGAGAGCATCATCCACAGTTTGGTAGTCATCATCCCCTAGCTCAGGTGATTGTACAGCATCCTACGTACACAAATAGACTAAATTGTTATGTGGGCTGTAATTAACAGACATTATTATAAAAAAAAGGAAGAAATTTAATAGAAAAATATAACCACTGAGTATTTTGTTTAAGGCTTGATAAGTTTTAGGTGGTACTTTATTGAGAAAAATGTGTGGGTAAGAGCGTTAAACATTGATTTTGTGTAATACTTCAAAATTTACCTTAACACTACTATAGTCAGCAATCTCTATTGGCTCTGGTATAGCTAACGGTGCTGTGACTGGACTGGTGTGAGATCTAAACATAGCAGCACTTTGAGACTGAAAGAGATCCGATATACCAACATTAATTTAACTTTCATTTTCTTTTAAGTGATATTAAAAATAATTTTGATTTTTTTAAAAATCCAATTTATAACCTATGTTTATGTTAAGAAAATTTTACTTTATAACTTCAATGCCATTTCGTTTTGCTTTACTAAATATTAATGACTTGTTAACATTATTTTAACATGTTTAAACTAGGTAGATTGTGAACAGATTATTTGTAGGTGGGAATGGATGTAGCCGACAGACCTGGGATCTGTGAGTATTCATGATCTTCCTTCTGTTGTTGGCATCATTGTCTGTCCACACTATGTCATGGGCTGACTTGCTGGTCATGTGCTTGACAAATGGGTCGCTTTTACCTGTGGCGTTACTAGTGTCTGGCCAGCCTGTTTTAGGATAGAAAGGGGATTTTTAAGTCAATAATGATATAAGTTAATCCAGTTATTTTGTAATAATACAATTTAGCACTTATTACATCTCCTTAATGTTAAGAAATATCCAAATAGGCTACCTCCAGAGATATGTAAAGTATGGGAGACTACTCTGAAGGAAGGGAAGGGGGATAATTTAAGAAATTGTATTGTTAATACATTAGTATTGTAGGGACTAATAAACAAAATAAATTTTAAACACTTCTTATAACAACAAATGCCTTTCACTGTTGATTCTTAAAAATATGCAAGGAGACACTGAAAACCTTACTGGAACTTGTTCCAATGTAAAGTGGCTATTAGCATTTATATTAATATGTGTTTCATTGAAACAAAATATATTTCTTTTTCTTAAAATATTTCTAGAAACTCTTGTCTTATCTAACCTAAAAGGTGATCTAAAATAACACATGCTTTCAATATGCAACATCCTTCAAATTTAATGTCTACACTCAAAAAAGAAACCAAGCTCCAATCAACAACAGTTTTACCACAATAGAACTTCTATACTTACTTCACCCACACACAAAATATACTTTAAAAAAAAGATTTTTTTTATTTTAAAATATAAATTTGCATTCAGTTGCATCAAAGTAGGTGGTATCTTTCCCAACACACTACACAAACTCATGCAAAAAATTCATAACACAGCTAAGACAGTGTCATACAAACAAAATCTTGGAAAACAGTTTAAAACACTAAACCTAAGTAGGCTCTATTAGCTACTGCTACACCAACTGTCAAGCAAAGGGAAGCAAACATAAATTATTTGGAGTTACTGGTCTTTAAAATAAAGATTACCTGCCTACATTTTTGTGGTCATTTATGTAGTTTCAGTTAATTAATAGTTGTAACAAAATACTAAAATAAAAGTAAGTGTCACTAGCTTTTGTTTAACTTTTTTTTAAACAGTAAATAACATTTAAAAAATTTAATCCTAGATTAACTTAATCTTCTGATGCCACAAACATGTATAAGGAAAGTTTTTAAAAATTATTACAACATCAATTTTTATTTTTAAAAAACAGAGGGGGTTGTGTGAAAGTCTGAGAGAGCAAACTATCTGGATATGAACTATTCACCATCTTCGCCACTCGAGCTTTGCGTTAAAGCTGGAGGGAATGTTTCCCCCTTCTTGCGCCGCTGCTCATTCAGTGCCCAGGCTGTTGGAGAAGTCATACAGCAAAAGGTTGATACACAGAGTCAACAACACAAAGGCCTCACAGCACAATGAGTCAACAATTACTGAGCTTTACATTAAAAGACTTAAGCAGCAAGGTACGGCTATCAATAATAAAATTTTTTTAACTATTGTAACTTGAACATAACTAAAAAAAATAAAAGCATAAAAAAGCTTTAAAAATTAAAAAACAAAGGGACTGAGAAATGATTCAAATAAAATATATCTTTACAAATTATAGTTCATAAACTACAGTGACACTATTAATGTTTAAAAAAAGTTTTTATAAGTATAGGTTCAAATATTTAACTTAAGGGTGTAATTGTAAAACCATTTTCAAGAAGCAACTATTCAAAAATAAAGAAAATTTTTCTCTTGTTTAACAATAGTTTACAACATCCAAGTAAAAGGAATAGATAGTACACAACGTTTTCTCATTACTGACTAGAAACCACCTACAACATACTAGACAAACATGGGATAAATAAATTTTCTATTGAACTTAGAATAAACAAAAGTACTGCTTGAGCTTTTAAAGGGTTGTTTCAGCCACTCAATAAATTATTTAAACTGCACACCAAAACAATTACGCTGTATGCGCAGTCGTAATTACTGAAAACATCTAGTAACATATCATGCATTGTATAAAAAACTTTAAGCAAGGCTGTCACTGATCAAATGCTTTAAGCAATATCAAGTTCAATGTAGTTTAAGGATGAAGTCAATTTTGTTGTTTAGCTCAAAAATAAATGCCACTGAAAGTTAAGGAATTTTCCTGGTGTTAAGCCTCTTGTATCTTAGTAGAAATTTTCTTCCTTTACTGAGTACCTTACATACTTCTTTCTTCCTTAACAAGTTATGCTCAAAATAACAGCAAGGTTTAAGTCTATATAACTATATAGCAAAAAAAAAAGCAAACTAAGGTAAAGTTATGAAGTTAATAAACAAATCATTACATTGTATGCTTATTTAGCAAATAGCTAACTGACTAACAAAGCAGTAATAAATGCATACTTTGTGCATAAGACAAAAAGTAATAAATAAATCTGTTTATTATATATAACTATCCAAATAGCTTTAACACTATAATTATAATAGGTGTAAAGCCTGTTTTTGGCATAAAGCATTTCTTACAAAAACATTTTTGAGAACAAGTCACTGATAGAAATTCTGTGTACAAAAATACTATGCTTAGTATTAACCCAAATAAAAACTAGAACTAGTGTAATAAAATAAGTCAGTTTTGAAGGAAACTTAACTTCCTAAAACTAATTAGACTAACTATATTTTCTTCAGCATTTTAGGAGCAAATAAACTAAACAATAAAATACTACAAAACACTAATAAACAAATTACAGGCCAGTATGGATAGGATAAATTAAAATTAAGCAGGTTCATACAAATGGCCAGGAAAATGATAACATACTAAACACACAGGCCACACTAGAAATTAAACATCAAGTAGAGAAATAAATAAAAATTAGGAACACTGCAGCAACCTCGAAACAAAAAGGGTGACTTGAACACCAAATGTGACTGGAATGACACACAAAATCCAAAAGTGTTCTCCGAAAAAATATCAATCACCTCTGCCTCCTTTTAATCGGCTCTTTTTACTCTCTTTATCCTCATCATCATCCTCCTCCTCTTCAGCTTCATCCCCAGCCTCCACTGCCTCTTCCGCAGCAATTTTCATGCTGCAAGACTTCCTGAAAAACTCCTGCGGGTCCTTGATGCCCCGGGTAGCCAGGTCTAAAAGAGGGGGCGCGCTGGCACAGACATTGCTGTTGTTGAAACTACTCCCACTGCTTGTGGTGGCATTGCTGGTGCTGCTGCTGCTTGTTATACTAGCCTCATGGGACATGGTGTGATGACCCAGGGGCATGATGGGAAGTGATTTTCTGTGCTCCCATTTACTTCCTGTTGTGTTTATTATGCAATCAAAGCGCCAGAAGTAACACAATGTACATGACAGAAAATATAGGTTTTATAGATTTCATAATTTAATTTGTATTAGCGGATACATATACACATTTATATTATTTATAATAGAACTAAACCCAAATAAACAAGAACAGAAAAACGAGTTTAAAAAAACAATTTTTTTTAAATTTGCTATACAGATAAAGTTTTGTAGCAAAAATGAATATATTGTAATAGTAAATTTTTTTTAGATAAGTAACAAAAATGGGAAAACTAAAAAAAAATTACAATTTTAAAACGGTTTACTCAAATATGACATTTAAAAAAATTTGTAAAATCAAATCTGTTTTGAAATTGCAAAAAAAAAAAAATGTAAAAAAATTGTTAAAAAAAACACACAACTACAACACAGAGCCACAACTGCTTACCAGCATAGACATTCTTTCTGGCTTTCACAACACTTGGTTTGACCAAATGCTCACCGTTCATGTTTGGAATGATAACTTCGCTGTAGATCTCTTCCGCCACAGGGGGCGGAGACACGCTGGAGCCCCTGTCTGCCTCGTGTTCACTGTCTGAGTAGTGGGAGTGGAACAGGTTGGGCTGGTCATACACTGGCTCAGAATCAGTGCTGTTGGTGGGAGGAGAAAATTAGTATAATATAACTATAGGTTTAATGTTATCACTTCTCACAGGTCGTAAGTGTAATCTCCATAATAAACTGAGTCAGCACTTCAAGCTATGGAACAAGAGCTAAAAAAATGAGATGGTGATATAGGATATAAGTTGTTAGATTTTAGTTGATTCTACTCATTTGTGGGGGAAGTTATTTAAACTTCTAACTTAAAAGTATTTTAACTGTCACCCAAAAGAAGCAAACTAATATGATTGGTCTATTTATGTCTGATAGTAAAATTTATTTTGGTTTAAATTAATCATACTTCAGTGCAGTTACCATTTTCATTAATTTATTTTAAAAAGTCAGCCGGGATGGGTGACAACTTTTGTCTTCAAATTCTGATATTACAGAAACAGGCTTTACATGTTATGTCAACATCAAATACTTTCATTTATATGTATATACTGTATATTGAAATGAAATTTTAATTAAAAAAAGTTAAGTATTACTTTAAAAAACTTTTATTTACATACATGATATGAAGAACAACCGACCTGTTGGAGGTACTGGATTTGTGTGTATGATATCCGTAGTTAGCTTTGGGTAGAGGTGCAGGGGGACGGGAACTATAAAATGGCTTTTCATCATAAGCTGGTGGGCACGGCTCCTCTGAAGGCTCATGGTACAGGGACTCAGATTCTTCTCTCTGTTTCCAAACATCCTTGAAAAATGGCAAGAACACACCCGCTGCAAAAAATAAAATTTAAATTAATATAAATTTAAAGTAGACAAAAACATGCTTTAAAATGAAGTATATTGATTCTTTCTGTTATGTATATACATGTAGAACTATTTTTTATGAACAAGTATATTCTCAGAAGAATGCCAAGACTAAAAAGCTTTGAGTGTGGTGTAGTTACTTTGCTGACTAAAGTTGGCTGTAGTTAAAATGAATTCAGCGCCTATAGAATCGGCTAGTCGGCTGCCTTCCTGTATAAGCGTTTGACTAATATCACTGGAGTATAAGTTTGGAGAGACGCCAGAGTCTGACACAGCAACAATCAATTTCGGGACGTCCAACAGGTTATCAACAAATGCCCTAGAGAGCACAGAAAACACAAAAATACAACTAAAGTTATTTTGTATGGAAAAGAAATGTAAACATATGAAATAAAGGTAAAAAGCAACGTGATTAAAAATGCTGGTTTAACTATCATGAGATTATTGAAGCTTGCACTTTTAAACATTTTTTCTGACGGGATAAAATTTTAAAATTTAGCTTATTACATTTTACCAAATAAGAATATTTTCATTTCATATTAAAACACAGACAGGAGCTTTTCCTTGTGTTATAAGTTTCCTTGTAGCAATACTAGCAGAAAATAACAATGAACATGTTTATAGATGTTTTCATGAGTACCAGTAACCTTAAACAATCAATGTCAGTACCTGAGCGTGGCTAAAGAGGCCATTCGTTTAGCAGAGTAAACAAGAATGTAGCCATGGAATAGACCTTGATGCAGCCGGTTCCCACCGTGATAAGACGCCACTTCAATCTCAACTTTTTGTTTGGATGACTCTAGGAACAGATCTAAGGTAATACAGTAGGGTGTGTCTGCCAGTACCCGACACATATCATGGTTCAGCAGAGGACCAAGGGGTGTTTCTAGCAGGAATGGATCTCCACACATCAGACACATCGACAACCTGAAAAATGGGGTAGGGTGGGAGAGAGAGAAAAACAATTGTATTATTAGATGTAAAGAAAATATTGGGAAAGCAATTAAATTTCAAAACAAGAATTACAAATACAATGTTTCTTATCCAATGACTATATTAGCTGATATACAAGGACAAGGGGTTAAGTAGTATTGTTAAAATATAGTTACAATGAGAAAGGATGGGTATGGTTAGTTATTCTTCTTCTGCATCATTCTTAATGCGATTCTAAGGGTAATTGACATATTTGTCATGTATGTAAAAGAAAAAAAAGAAATACTTTTAGAGCTAATAAATTCAAAACATTTTGATTACTAAAATTTAATTTAAAACATTTTCCTTACCTGATATCTGGTTCAAACTGGTCAGACAGATACCAGCTGTTCAAACCAGGACTACACCCTCGTATAATAGTCTGAAGTGCTGCATGAATCTGACCTTCAACAAACTGAACACCGTCTTCTACAACATCATAGTCAACAATAAACTCTCCATGCAGCCTGGAATGTAATAAATATTCAAATCAGTTCTTTTTAGCATTCTAGTTCGGTAATAGTCATTAACTTCTTCTTAGAATGCCAGTAATGTAGTTAAGTGCACAAGGCTTTTTAATAATAGTTTTTAATAGAAAATCTGTGATGAGTGGTTAGGTCAGGGTTGGCTGGAAGCAGGACATCCTCTTATCAATAAGCACCTGTCCAAAACTGGAGCCGACAAAACCCCTGCTGTTGGTTACACATTGCCCCCAAAACTAACCTAAGGTAGTGCAACAAATACATAAAGGAAATATTATGGATAGATTAAGATTATTCTACACTTTATAGGTCCCATTGCTTGGCATTATTTATACTACAGAGGCAAGGTACGAAATCAGATTTATGTTGTACTATTTGGTCCCATATCTATGGAATGCCGGGTTACTCACTTTGCTAGTAACATATATAATAGGTATTCTTGAGAGGTGCATAATTATTATTAGTAAAAAAGCAGATTAAAAAATTAAAGTACTGATTTACCTTGAAGCAATGGTCCTCCCCTTCTCTCTGAGAAGTTCATTCTCTTTCTCACTCTGACTAGAATTTGAAGCCTGGATAATGGCAATAGGCATACCACTGAGTGTGGCCTCACCTTCTCTGATAACATCATTGGTCAGTGACCTCTCCAAACTATCCCGAATGTAATTGAGTGTTTCATCTGAGTTATAAACACATAGACAACCTGCAAGGAAACAATTGCAATGATCATTTAAAGAAAGGAAAATTTAATTGCATCTGAGTATAGTCTTTTAAACTTTGTCATTTATCTATAATAATAAAAAATTATTGAAATAAATATTTATGTTTGTATTTTTAATTTAACACTTTAAAATACTTGCATTAATTGTGAGATTGTTAATGTTTCATTCTAATAAAAATCATAGAAGTTATCACAACCTAATATGAGTTAAAATTTAAAAAGATATACATACCATGTGGCCTAAAGTTAGCGGTGGCCAAGGCATTTTGTTCACGACTAACATCACCATCAATAGGTCTATAATCTAAACTATATGTTGTGTTGTCTATGACATATTCATCATCAATACATAAATTCTGTAGAGGAGAAAATAATATAAATAAAAAATCCAATGTGTAAACAGTAAATTTTATTTTTAAATTTAAAAACTTATCTTTTGAAGTACAAAAGCTCATCTATTTTTGTGTATTTTATTTCTATAAATAATAATTAACTTTCTATACTTTGTTCAGTTTTTAAGTCAACAATCTGGAAATTTGAAACAATTCTACAACTAAACTGTAAATGTTACTTCACCAGAATAAAACTTATGAAACTGTGAGAATTTTTATAAAAACTTTGAATCAACCTAAAAGTCCTCATGCTAAATATATAAAAAACTGACTGGTATCTGACCAGACAATTCCTTACAGGCCAAGGCCACATATCATAAACTGAAAAAGTTCATTCATCTGGCCAGACTAGATTCATTAAAACTATTAAAAGGAAATAAATAACACTTACTCTGATCTCCCTGTTGAGAGAGATGGCAAGACCATCTTTGCCTAAAAGCACCAAATTCAAAGTTTTACAACCAGAGTCAGCTGAGTCCAGAGAGCTTTTTAACTCTGGTCTGTTGAAGGAGAAAAAAATGTTAACATCAATGAAGGGGTTGTGTGATTGCATTGTAAGGTGCTTGATTACTGACCCAACAGTTACTTTTTAAAACAAAATTTTTATATCTTGAAATTTTAAAAAATCTAATATTTTACCAACTGAACAAAATATGGTCAATATGATTTAAAATTAAGGAAGGGAGTGGTCTAGCGGTAGAGAGCTGGACTACTAACCCGTAAGTCTCAAGTTCGAATCCGAGTTTAAGTCAGTAGACCATCCCTGAGTCCACCCAACTCTGATGGGTACCTAACTCACGTTAGGGAAAGTAAAGACGGCTGGGCATAGTGCTGACCACACTATCTCTTCATATGCCGAGGTCACAGAAACAAGTGAATTCTACTTCACTTGTCCCATAGACCGTCAGGTTTGAAAGGGAAACTTTATGATTCAAAATAAATATTTTGTTTATTTTATTTAATAAAAAAAAAAGATTAACTAGAATGTACCTAATTGCACGTGTCGCCAATAAGTTTTCCACCTGGGTATCTATACAATGATCACCAAAGCAACATCTCTCTCGGGACGGGGACTGCATGAAACCCAAATGGTTAAGTATCATAACTTTTCTGTCTTCTTCTAGTCGCTGCAAAGCTTTATACCTACAATAATATAAAGAAAATGTAAACCAATGAACAACATGACAATCAATAGAACATAGTGTCAACAACTTAAATCTGCGGTTTACAAACTTTAACTATTTTGTAATAAAGCCTCTCTTTAAAAGTCTTCTTCTGCATTTAGTTTATGGTGGAGGCAGTGGAGGATTTAAACAAGTCCAACTTCGTGTATGAACTGGAATGTGGTCTCCATATCCGCGGGTGCTCCATATTTTTACCTTGAGTGGGGTGTATAGGGGCCAGTGTTTGGATAGCGCCTGGCTATTTAAGGAACAGTCCTGAAGGACATGCTCTGTATTCTCTGGGGCCATGCCACATAGGCAAGTTTTAAAGTCAAAAATAAATTTTTTGGACCCCACCCCATCCCATGTTACAATGTTAATAGCAATAGTAAAACCATCAAAGGAGCAAGCTCTCTGTAATCAAACGATTTCAAAACTAAGAAAGGATATGACTTTTTAGGATAGCTTTTAGGTCCACATTGCAAAGTTAATTTTCATTGACATCTCTCAAGTAAAAATGTTACAATTTTTTGAAAGGATGAAATTCTGTTTAACTTTACGCACATCTTTTGGAAAGCGTAGATTGACTGGTGAGGATTTTTTCTAAAAGCAAAAGCTTAATCAAGGTTCACCTTAATTAAACTATAACACCCGTATATAAATATCCACAGCAAACTGAGTTGAATGGACTTACCTTTTATCATCTTGAAGAGCTGCTGTCAAAATCATCAAGTCTTTAGGAGTGACCCTCTCTGCTGTATTTAACCCTAAAAATGCCCCCGACTTTTCCCAAAGAAGTTCCTGAAAGTCTGCCCTTGCAGCTGCTCTCAGCTCTGTCATGTGTTCCTCATAGACTAGATTTCGCTCCACTTCATCTAAGCTAGAGTAGCATTCTTTACTCAGGAATAACAGATATGTTTCGGAGAGGGGTTTGCCTGGCGTGACTTGAGGGTTTTCCTCTAGCAGTTGTTTGAACTGCCGTTGTAATCTAGAGTGAACAAAAAATTAAATATACAGCTGAAATTTTCAAATTATTTTTAAAGATTGTGTATATTTTAAGTACAGAAAAAGAAAATTTTATTGAAAAGAAAAACTTCTTTAATTAGTACTTACTCTCTTTTTCTGTGATAGGCTTGTAATTCATTCAAGTGATTTCTGAAGCACATTTCAGCCTCAGCTGAGTTGAGCAAGTCATAAGGAATCCTCACTTCCTCTGAGTTATCTAAGAATGCATCACACTGTTTCCAAGATGTGCCCCCTTCCTCAGAAATTATCACAAAATGGCGGTCAAAGTCAGGATGGTCCCGTATGAGTTTGCGTATTGGATTCCACCCCCTAAAACAAAGATAAATATTGATATTTAATGACAAATTTTTTCTTTTCTAAATTATAGACATAAAATATAATATTTAGAAACACAAGTCAGAATGGTTAAGTGAGGTTATCAAACTGCAATTGCTACTCGAAATTGTTCATTAAAAAATGTAACATTTTAAATCAGCGTAATGCCTTTTAAGCTCCAAAGATATAATTATTATGTTACATATTACATAATAGAATTAATATATGCAAATTTGGTTAAATTAGGTAAACATAAAATTGGATTTTCTTATATAACATTCTTAATGTTAAAAGAACAAGATTAATGTGTTGAGTAAATTTATATGTGTTAAGTTAAATTAATTCAAACATATCTAACCTATAATAATAAAAGCAAGAGTTTTCATGATTTAATAATTTTCTAATATCATCCAGAGAAAATAATAAGTTAATAATTTTAGAAGTTGAGAAATTGTAGCTTTTATTTTCTAAATCAAGTATAGTGAAAGTTAACAGATGTTTAAAACCTAGCATATCTAATAACCCTAATAGATTTTCTTGGACATAACACACAAATCAAAGTTTTAAACTGTCATTTGATTTTTTTTTTTAAAGTTGCATATATTGTTTGAAAACTGACATTATATCAGAATGGAAAATAATTGTTCTATTCAACTAAGCAGTGATCTCCTTATACACAACTATGCCATCAGTCTTTCTAGCACAAATATTAAGATGATGCAAGATAAACTGGCCATAGCATTTCTTAAGAAATGGTTACAAAAAAAAAAAATCAAACATCCAATAAGTTAAGTATATTAAAGAATATCTTATGCACTATAATAAATAAACTGACATGTTTAAATATAAAAAGTTCTATATAATATAATTTCAAAATAAGGGGTCTGCGTGTTTATTAGTTATTATCAGTAGTAGTAGATGCTTGCTCAGTCCAGATATTTCATTCTTAACTTGTAGGAAGCAATTTTAAGATTAGATTCTAACACATTTGTCCTAATTAGCCTGTAAATAAAATCAAGCTAATCATAAAAGAATAAAGACTAAGTCAAAGATATACTGGCAAACTATCAGCTGCAGAAATGTGAACACTAAAAAATAACCAAAAGAATAAATACACAATTTTCTTTAACTAGAATTTATATAATACTTTAGAATTATTTTTAAAACTGAACTTTTAAGTAGAATTGTTATAAGGAAACAAATGTTAAAACAAAAAATATTTTTAAAAAAAAATTATGTATAAACAGTTCAGAAAAATGATGCCGTTTGAAACAAGCAGCTCATACCCACATCTATTGAACAAGTGACAATGTCTACTTGCAATGGTTGATAACCTAAGTAAGCCAAAGAAAAACAACCATGTTCAACACAAAGTAACTAAAGACACTTATACCCCATGATTACAACATGACCACAAAAGTAAATTCAAGAAAATTCCAAAGTTGCTTGGATTTCACATTTGAGAGTATTAAATTAAATTATTAAATTTAAACATTTGTTTAAAAATAATTAATGTGTTTACATTACTAAGTTTTTAACATACCTTTCTGTAATAGAATCCAAGGTCGGAAGAAATAACTTCAATAACCGAGGTAATAACGACATGTAGCGCTGCTCACGTAAGCGTATCTGTTCATCACGTAACCTTTTCGTATGTGCTCTAAATTCCTTTCGAGCCTGCTCTGTACCGAACATTTCCACATAATGTCCAAAATCTGACTCTAGTTCTAACTTTCGTTTACACGTAGTCCATACTGCTTTTGGATCAGTAACATTTGTACGCAATAAATGGATGTATGCCTCTTTGGCCACCTCCAGCAATTCATGCCTCTGTTTCCTGGCTTCTAAGAAAGGTAAGATTTTTGACTTTGCTTTTGTTTTGTCAATGAGGTGTGCTAGAAGCATGAACGCAGACTCAATGTTGATGTTCTCGTGAGCAGATGTTTCGACTAGAAAAATATTCCCTTTGAACTCTTTGCGATTCAGCAACCTTTCGGCCTCTTTGACATACTCCTGGCATGAGAAATCCCCTTTGGTTGTGGCAAGGACAACAGGCTTCTTGGTTTTGAGCGCATTGTTGAGCAAGGCTGCTACAAATTCAACCTGCTTTTCTATAGTTCTCTGGGGGACCTTGCTCACATCAAAGCAGCACAGGAAACCATCAATGGCCAACTTTCCTTCAGGCATGAGGACTTGTGGGTAAGAAATGTCTGTTTCCATTCCTAGCAAGAAAAGACAAATTAGGATTTGTTATTCTGATATATAATAAGTACTATTAAGTCTAATAGTAAATTTGTAAAAAAAATTTTACTGTCTTGAATATAAGTAGTTTCTAGATCATTTTTCTTTACTAATATTGGAATTTAAATACTTTTAAAAAATACTAAAAGTAAGATAAACTTGGATTAAACTTAACAAAAAAAAAGCTATCACACAAATAAATCAGAAAGGCCAGACAAAATAATTTAATAAGACACAGACCTAACTGATCCTTGCAGATATACATCAGTTTTTCAGCACTTTGTACTTTGCCACTGACAGCTCTTTTAACATATGTTTCTGTACGGGCTGTCTTAAATGGTGCAAAGCTGACATCATCAATAAATTCTGTCTGTTCAACCTAAGACAAAAAAACAAAAAATGTATGTTTAGTTGACCTAACATAAAATATATAATCATATTAAAATTGAATAGATTGTGTGCAATGTAAATAATATACTTAATTTATAAAACATTTTTTTTTTAAATATTAATTTTAAAAATATGCAATAAAATAAAATTAATTTACTTTTAATTTATAGATGCAATTTTAAAAAATAATACAATTATCAAACTATAACTACAATTGGATGAAGGTAAAAATTAAATTAAATATTTACCACATGAAAGGTAAAGTTGTTGCCATCATCTGTCTTGACCACAGACCCCCAATACAGGAAGTGGTCATTGTTGATGACCCGCCCTGCAAAGTCACTTTGACTCAACACAGAGATGTGCTCTTGGTAATAGTTGTCAGCAACCTAAAAATTAACAGTAGATTTTAGTATGTGTCAAGAGTCAAGTATAATATTTTGACATTAATACAAATTTTGTTAATATATCAAAGTAAAGTTTTGTTGTAGAGGCACAGCAGATTAATTACAATACATTATACATAGCATGTTCTTTGCACTAATAGAGTTGGGCTTCATTACCTGATTAAGAAATCTGTTGCAGAGACAAGATTTTCCAACACCATACTGGCCCTTTTCACGTTCAGTGCCTGATAAGCCGATCACGCTCACATTAAATGTGCGGCCTTCTGCCCTCCGCGCCATCCCGCGGAGTTACATCTTCATTTGAATCCTAAAAAAGAAAAAAAATATTTTTTTTTTAAAACTACAAGTCATTTTAACAACCAGAGACCAAAAGTTTTTGAGCTAGAATTTTACATTTCATTTTACGAAAAACTAAATATTAGTTTAAAAAAAACTAGTTCTCAAATAGCATTTAAAGTTTTGAAATGCATGTCAACTAACGATTTAACAAACAAGGCTTTAATACCAAGTACAAAATTATTATACTGCGGTGTCACAAAAGTGTGGCAATGGGTCAGCACAGTAATTCAAGGTTACAGATTTCACTAGATATATTTCCTGTTTATTTGTTTCATCAACAGGAAGAAAAACCTAGTGGGGACTTTAGTTTCCTCTCATTATGTAATGTCAAGCACAGAGATAAATCAATCTCGTTCTTTAACTACTCACTCTGTTACAAAATAATACTGTTTTGTACAAGCATAAGTCATGTTTATTGCAATGCCAAATATATGCACTAACTGAGCATTTCATTTTTAATTATTTCAAATCCAATTTAGCTAAAAGTTGTAAAATTTCAATTGCTAGTAAAGAGTGTTGGAGACAAAAATGATGAAGAACACACTGCACTGAAATAAATGCAGTGTATAAATAAGATCCCCTAACAAATACAGAACTGTGAAAACAAAACATCTTTGTAGTCAGACTAGAAATAGCAACAACAAACAACACAAAAAAAAAGGCTATTGAGGCAAAAGGTGTGGGTGGTGATAGAAAAAGCCCTGCTGACATACACACACACATACACCACACAACCACCAGTCTTGTAATGATCTCTAAAAAAAAAAAAAACAGGTTACAAATAGGACATCAGGAAGTACAGGAGGGGGGAAGGAGGAGGTAACTAGAAAAACAAAAATAAAGGAAACAATACTGTGAGAGACAAACACTGAAACCAGTGCAGGGATAGAAAAACAGGAGTACAGTAAATTGAAAGAGTTGTTGCTCAATTACAAATAGTGGTCTATGACAAACAGCTTGCAAAAAAATGTGACACCTCCCTCTCCATCTTTAAAAAAAACGTATTTTTCAGTTGTTATCCTATTTAAAATAAAAATGTTGCCTTTAAAAACACCATGAAAAACTTTTGATTTCGCAATTTGAAAGGTTAGCAGCTTAGAATAATGGTGTTAACTGTTTTACTAATAATGAGAAACACACGATTTTGTCCTTTAAGAATGTTTACGTTTTTATTTAGATTTAAAAAAAAATTAATGGCGTGGAAAAAAATGTGATAACAATAGTTTAGTTTCACCAAGACAACCAAGTAAAATGAACAATAGGGAGGAGCCAATGACCTGGGGTTAGATTTGGAACAGCTTTGAGCTCTTAAGCTTTTAACACTGACGCCCGTGGACGTGGGGGGGGGGGGGGGGGAAAGAGAACTACTGCGCGTGGCCAACGTTGATTATTTTAAACCCAACAAAAAAAAACCCACTCCTTCGGTAGTGTGAATGGGAGCACGTCCTAGAGAAAAAAAAATCAAGGCTAACTACCAGGAGAAATAAAATCCCCCTTAATCATCGTACCAACAGCGCCCCGTGAAACATTACTCACTCGCGAATCGACCTATCCTACAATTTTGAGTACAACCGTTTTCATTTACTAAGACAATAATTAGCGCCGTGAACTGTGTTGGCGTGGAGAGTAGCACAACAGCGCTTGACTAGGGCGGGACGGTGTATGAATGAACGTTGTTGCCACTCAGTGGCTGGGCTGAATTGATTCATGCGAGCCACATAGAAACCAGGTCGCGAGGGGCCTGGCCGAGTGCCCAGGTTAGGCCTAGGTTTCTAATCGCTTAAAAGAAATAAATAAATAAACCTCATGTGATAGTGTGTGAATAGCACTTAAATCTAAGTAGAAGAAATTGTATGCATGTAAATATTGTAACTATGTTCCGCATTTTTATACTGACTAGGTGTAAACAATAAATAACACTAACACTTGATTTAAAAAAACAAAACAACAACAAACATCGTATTAGAATGCGAATCCCAACTTTATTATTCCTTCAACATCTTTAAACGAGGGGAGGGAGTCAGACGAAATAATCAAACCACTTGCAGCTTCACATAAATCTAGACAAGGTCTACTACACGTCCCTAACACGTCAAGTGCTATATTCTATTAACCATCTAAAATTTATGAACAGAATAGTCAGTATCGATAGCGTATCGTGTCTTCGCTATACGATCAGTTAGATCGGCACTACAGTATGTTGTTGCTACAAAGCAATCAATTTTTAAAAATAATTCTAAAAAATCACCCCGTCATGGCCTCACCAATGACTGGGACGTAGTGATCTATCTGGCAGCATTGAGTATGTTTAACAGACCGTTAACTCTGGCATTAGCCTAGAATAGATCACCCGTGTTCTGACTCAGCGGTATAATGGGATAGGGCAAACACCTGGTGCAAAGGCCAGAATAAATGTCTAACCTGCAGTAGTAAATGGGTATAATTGCTGCAGTGAATATATATATATATATATATATATATATATATATATATATATATATATATATATATATATATATATATATATATATATATATATATATATATATATATATATATATATATATATATAAACACACATTTATACTGGAGAAGGAAAAGAACGCTAAAAATTATCTTGCAAATCAAAAGCTTGCCGGAGCGGCGATTATCTAACGGTGCCCTAGCTAAGCAGCCGTGTGGATTGAATGAGACGCGACCCGATGTACCCAAGCCGATGATATTTAGGACAGTATTGATCACCCGGCCTCTTGAGAACTATTTGATTCATCTTATTCATCACTCTTGATGAACGAAGGCCGCAACGTGTTGGGGGGGGGGGGGGGGGGGGAAGAGAGAGAACACATACACGGGGCAAGATTCAGGAAGTGTGTACACAATATGTGGGCCGAATCAGCCCTAGAAGTTGCCAGTATGGTGACAGGTCCGGAGCTTCGTTTTAGAACTGAGCGTACTCAGCCTTATTTCATACCCAACATTAATGGGTGGGGGCGGTTATCTAACATAATAGAGTGCGGGAGAGGGTAGGAAAAAAAAGGCTTAATGAGAACCGCTGGACACCAAATCATCGGGTATGCAGATCTTCTTCATAAGTCTTACGGTCAGGTCTTGAAAAAAAAAAATCCTCCCACACATCCTCCGTGTCTCGAACCCGTTAATTCTTAATTGTCCCATTCAGTGCTGGATGAAATGTTCAAACCCTCGCTAATTGTGAAAGTGTGTAAGAATCGACCAACTTACGCAAGCATGACTAGATAAGAGCACTGGGACTGATTAACCACGTGCACGGTTGTCAATATTTAAAAAAAAAAGTTACTTTTCATAAAGTGAGCACACTATTGGTAATGTGGAATCACGTGGAATTATTCATGAGTCAGCCAATAAATCGATAATCCAAGTGAGAATTTTTTTTTTATAGTTTCATTTCTATTGTCAAGACTGTGCTCACAGAAAACTGAGACTGACTCACAACATTGATGCAGTAGGTGAAGCGCTGTTGTCTCGTAGGTCTACTGTCGCAAGGGCAACGCTAATTATCGCCTCACAAAAGTCATGTTGTAGGGACAGCGCTGTTTTGCGCCCTACAAAGGGTTGTTGTACACACACCCTATTCTGTATCACATGAGCCCATTGTGATGTTTTAGAGACATCGCCGATCAACGTCTCCTGGTTCAACTGCATCACAATATAATAATTTAGGTGAACCGTTTGATTCTGACCGTCCGACTCAACGCGTGTGAATATGAGCTGTGTGTGATCGAATCAGGACGCGATGTTTAAACATATAATTAAACAGCAATAACAAAACGTTCATTAACTTAAAACACGTCTTGTCGTACCACAACTGACATTGATTCTGGGGATAATGCACTAAAATAGTCATACATTTAACCTCTTATAAACATAATGTATTCAATACTTGATTAACATTCTCCATAATTATGAAATTAAATGAAGATAGATTTTATATTATGTACACATGTTCATTTATTTAATTTTTTAAATTTGCAATATTAAAATTAAAACGGGGCAGTAGCAACATGGCGATAGCTAGACTAGATAAGAAGATACAGATTGACAGAGGGAGAGAGAGAGAAAGAAGCGGTAGAGGAATCCTACATAACACGTTACACAACACAACCACCGGACTTAACTACCCGCCTCCTCACGCCCTGCTTCCATCATCTCCGCCGTGCCGCGGAGCCCCGAGGGAGATGCGCCGAGCGGCAAGAAAAAGAGAAGAAGAAAAAAACACAGAAGAGCGCTGAATGTGAGAGCGGTGCTATTTCACAAATATATAACAAACACTGGACCTAAAGATGACTCATTCCTTGTTCTTAGTTTCTTTTATTCCCACCGACTGATACCCGCCTTACAACACAGTAATAAGGTACCCGTGTTTTTTTTAACGATTCCCAGTACAAAACAGAAAAAAATAATTACCGTATAACTGGCTTTATATGTAAGCACTGTTTCATATTTTCTCAGAAATTCCAAGAATACATCCTGCACGTATTTTTAAAAACACTTTAATGTGAAATGGGCATTAGTTAAGTATAGTATTAGGCCCAGCGGGATTAAAATCTATTTTAGACATTAAAAGTAAATACAGCCGAGCCGAGACTTGAAAGCCTACTCACCTTATTGATTTAATGGATTTTAACTAGCAAGACAACCAGTGTGGTTTACTTAAATACAGACGCAGCTGAAAACTGTCGTGGTGTTTCCATATGCCACAAGGAACGCTAGGCGAAATACTGGTCAGCATGAAGCATGCCTTATAAATACACATGACAATAAAACCACGAGCTGACGATGTAAACACACTCAGCGAGTCCGCAACCACTATAATCCAATAGGGAATAAAACAGTTGACAACTTGCTGTACAAGATATATCTTCCTGTATCAAGTGATGGCAATTGACAACTGAGAGTGGGCTCACCATCCTCTTATAATGGCTATCTAAT